TGAAGACAAAATAAAGACATTCAGAGATAAACAAAATTTAACAGAATTCATCATCAGAAGAAATTGAACAAATTTTACAAACTTGAAGAAATGTTACAGGGATTTATTCATGTTGAAGAGAAATGATATGAAATGGAGACTTAAGATGTTCTGGAAGGAACGAAGAACACTGGAAATGATCAACTTAAAAGACTTTTTTCTTGTTTAAAAATACCTATGATAATTTAAAGCAAAAATTACAGCATTTTATTATAGGCTTTATGTCAATCGTAGATATTGCATATAAAAACTAAAGCATAAATGATTGGGAGAGGGTACTGGGTAACTGGACCCATAGAGTAGCAAGGTTCTTATATTTTACATGAAGTAATACAATACTAACTCTAACTAGACCAGAAAAGTTAGGAATTTGTATAAAAATCCCCAAGCAGCCACTAAAAAATAATTCAAAGATATATTCACAACAAATAAAATAAAAGGCAATTCCAAAAGGCAAAAAGAAGACAAGAAAGAAAAAAGATGGCAGCCTTTTTAATTAAGCAAAAAGAAGATAAGAAAGAAGAAACAAATGAAAAAACAGATATAAAACAAATAATAAAATGATAGACTTAAATTCAGCCACGTCAGTATTTACCTTACATGTAAATAGATTACCTGCTAAAAAGCAGAGATTGTCAGATGGATTTTAAAAAATCAAGTCTATTATTTTTATAAGAGATTTATTTTAAATATATAGACAAATAAGAGTAAAAGGATGGAAAAAGATATATCATACATCCAATAAACATAAAACTTGTAGTGACTATGTTAAAATCAAATAAGGTATACTTCAAGAGATTACTAATGATAGAGGCATTTCACAATGATAAATGAGTAAATGCATTAGTTAGGTATTCAGACATCACTCTCTCAGCAATTGATAGAACAATTATACAAAATAGGTAATCAGAAGATATGAACAAAACTATCACTTTGGCCTAATTGACTTTTAGAGAATACTATGTCCAACAACTGTAGAATATTATTATTTTCAAGTGCATGTGGTACTGTTCACAGAGACAGAATGCAGTATGGTCCATAAAACAAGTTTCAGTAGATTTTAAAAGATTGATATCTTCCAGAATAGAGGTCTTCCACAATAAGATTAAATTAGAAATTAATAATATAAATATATCTGAAAAATCCCCGAATAATTGGAAATTAGGAACATGATTCTTCTTAACCTATGGGTAAAAGAAGAGAGCATAAGAGAAATTAGAAAATACTTCAAACTGAATGATAATTTGTTGGATATAGTTAGAGTAGTGTTCAGAGGGAAATTTAAAGCCTTAAATGCGAATATTAGAAAAGAGGAAAGGGCTAAAATCAATCATGCAATCTTACAAAGCACGAAAAATAAGAGCAAAGTAAAAGAAAATAGAAGGAAGGTAGTTTCACTGGTGAATTCTACCAGACAGTTGAGGCCAAAAAACACCACCAATGTTATACAAACACACACAGAAAATATAGGAGGAGGCAAAACGTTTGACTTGCTTTATGAGTCCAAGATTACCCGGCTACCAAAGCCTGACAAAAGAAAATAAAATTACATATCAACATTACTCATAATCATAGATAGAAAAATCCTTAACATAATATCAGCAACTTTAACTCACATAAAAAAAGTAATATGTTCTGACCAAGTTGGGTGTACTCCAAGAATGCAAGGTTGTGTTAACATTAGAAAATTGAACAGTGTAATTCATCATATTAAACAGAATAAAGAAGAAAAATCATTCACAATAAATGCAGAAGAAACGTGATAAATTCAACATCAAATCTTGTTAAAATCTCTCAGTACATTAGGAATAGAAGGGAATTTCCCCAATCTGAGAAAATGCACATCTGAAAATGCACTTCCACAATAAGATCTACAGCTAACCTCATACTTAATGGTTTTCTCCCTAAGATGGGTAAAAAGTAGCCTCTCTGTTCTCATCACTTCTATTCACCATTTTACTGGTCCTCCTAGTCAGTGCCATAAAGTAAGTGAACGTAGTGAAAACACATGTTTCATAAAGGAAGAAGTAAAATTCATTCATAGGTGACATGACTTCATGTAGAAAATCTAGAAGAATCTATAAAAAAACTATTAGAACTAATGAGGGAATTTACAAGGTTGCAGGATCCAAGATTAATATAAAGTTAATTTATTTTTATATGTAATCAGCAAATGATTGAAGATTTAAATGTAAAAATTTTATTTTAATCATTTCTAAAACCAAGATATTTAGGAACAAATTTAACATAAGGCATGTGATATCTCTACAAAGCATTTCTGAAGAACTTAAAATTCTATATAAATGGAGAGACATATAATGTTCATTGATTAAAAATACTCAGTATTGATTAGATTTCAGTTTTTCCTAAATTGATTTATAGGGTCAACAAAATCCCAATAAGAACCTACCTGTTTTTTTTGTTTGCTTTTTTTTTTTTTTGAGAAATTAAGAGCTGATTCCAGCATTTCTACAGAAATTCAAAGGACCCAGAATATTCAGACCACTCTTGAAAAGAAAGTGTACATTTGGAGGATTTCCATTACTGGACTTATGTGGTGAAAGAATCTGGTGCCACCTAAAATCCCTTCTGGTGAGGGTAGCAGCACTCCCAGGGAGTAAGGACAACGTTCTAACTACAATATCTTGTGCCTAGCTCCAGTGGTGTTGGCAGCACATGCTGCAGATGTGTGTCCAGCTGTGTTGCAAAGAGATGTGTACTGGACCACCTCTGTGATGTGATTTTAGGCACATAGCCTCTAAGTGGTGTAAATAGCCCTCCTGATGATTCTGTGTGCTACTTGATATTCTATTTTCTGCTTAAATTAGCAAAAGTTGTTTCTTTCATTAGCAATGGGGAACCCTGACTGATACAAATACTAGGAAGAAAAATAAAGAAGGATGAAGGAACAAAGGGTAGGCTGTGTGTTGGATAAAGGGATAAGAATGAACTTCTCTGAGGAAGTAGCATTTGAACAGAGATCATATTATTCCATTTCAGTTTGTAAAAAGAGAATAGTGTTCCATAAGTATCTATATGTCTAGGTAAGCATATAAAAATATGAAAGATTATTGTGGCAGGCTAATAATGACTCTCAAAGATATATCTACATCTCAATGTCTAGAACTTATAAATGTTACTTATTTGAAAAAAAGGGTCCATGTAGATGTGACTAAATTAAGAAGCTTGAGACGAGGAGATCATTTTGGATTTTGGCTCCTTGAAACTGATACTGAACTTCTGGCCTACAGGGCTGTATTGTTTTAAGCTATCCAGTTTGTGGTAAATTGTTACAGAGGCTGCAGAAAACTAATACAGTAATATATTTCCCTGTAACACTGATGATCTGGAGGGAGGGTGGAAGGTAGAAGTCAGAAGTGGAGAGGAATATAGGAATATGAATATATATGTCACAGTACCCTTTACATAAATTAAAAATGGACACAAAACAAGAGTATAAATGTCATGAAAACATATAAACAAGAAGGTTTGTATTAAACATGAAAGAATGATTGACAATGAGAAGGGGTATGAGGATGGAGGGAAATGGATGACAACAGAAATAAAAAATTCAGTTGAAGAGTTGGAAGATAAAGTTGAAGAAACTTCCTATAAGGTGAAGCAAAAAGAGAAAGAAATGAAAAGTAAAAGAGAAAAAGAGTAATAAAGAAGAGGACCAGTCTAGGTGACCCAATATCTGCATAAAAAGCAGTCCAGAATGAGAAAACAAAAAAAGAATGTAAACAAAAAAATAATTAAGAAAAATTCTCCTCTATGGTTTGATGTTAGATTGGAGAGAGAATGTAGAGTAAAACGAGATTGCAGAAGCTTACAGATGTTGTGAGATCATAAAGATTCTGGGAGGTCTCTTTAAGGCTACCCCTTCTGTTTAGAATGGCTGTTAGTCTCTCTTGATTTACCCAGAAATTTTTACACAATCTTCAAGACCCAAGATAACATCACTACCTCAGGAAGCCAACCTGGACTCATTTAGCCAAAGTAAATAGTTCTTCCAATATATTATAGAACTCATTGCGCTAGAATAAATTATTACTTGGAGTCTGTTTTATCTTCTAGAAGGAGGTATGCTACTTGAGGGCAGCGGCCAGATAGCGCTCATTCATCTTTAAAGTCACAATGATGGTAACTCAATAATAGTCTTTTGTTTCATCTTGGCCCCAAAACAAGAATTTCCCCGTCTGCAAACTTTAACCCTTCTCAAACAATAAGGGGAAGATAAGAAGTCTCGTGTGTGTGTGTGTGTGTGTGTGTGTGTGTGTGTGTGAGCGCACGCCAGAATATTGAGGGTGAGAGTAAGGTAAAACCCATCACGTTCACATACCAAGAACTTCACGCACCTTAATTTCAGTACTCGCAGCCAGTCTACAAAATAGGCATTGTAATCCCAGTTGCATAGATAGAGAAACTGACCTTCCCACACAGTCACAGCTAGTAAACGCCCTGGATTAAAACTCAAACACCTGCCTCCAGAAATCTTACTCCCAGCCTCTCCGCCGTGCTTCCTCAACATTCTATAATGAATTTTTTCAAATAACTGGTGCTTCACATCAGTGAATTCGTTTCCATTTTATTAATGTCTTCAGGGATTACACCACCACATCACTTACCCACTGCGAAAAATAACCCACTCTTAAAAAGAATCGGCATGAGCCTGATTTTCTAATTCACATCTTTCAGTTTAGCTACCATCTACCTTTTGTGTTCACACATGCTTCCTTTCTTACTTTTAGTGAGAATAAATTTTACTCATTTTACTAAACTGCATGGAATATAGACTCGTTCTTTCTATTTTCACTTTAATTTTTCCTCATACAGAGTGAAAAAGTACATTATATCCGAGGGGGTGGATTACAATAGCGTGTGTCTTAATTAAAAGAAAAAAATGAAAGGCCCTGCTCCACCCCCGGCCCGCCCCCGGCCCTCCTCCCGGAGCACGAAGTCTTCGGAGGCTGCGGCGAGCCCCTGGCTGAGCGCTGCCGGCGCGGATCGGCGATGCCAGGGCTGGGCTGAGCAGTCTCCGCTCTTCAGCTTGTCCTCTCGTCCCAAGTGGAGTCCAGGTCAAGAACTTGGACCCGCGAGCAGCGGCACCGGAGCCCGCGCACTGCGCATGGACGCGGCAGGGGAGCCCGAGGCCCCAAGCTCACCTGGAGGTGACCGAGAGAGGCGCTGCCGACGCGCCTGGGTGGTTTGGGCCCAGTGTCTTTATTCACGATTGAATTAGCTTTAGCTTGGTTTGTTTCCGAGACATTCGTGGGGCCTGAAGGTGGCGTTCGGCTCCGCGTTTCTTTCCTCTCTGGAAGAGGTTGAAGTTCGAGAATTGGAATGGTGTAGTCTCTATAATGACTTTCTTCTCTAGCTCTGGTTTTAAGTACTGTGTGTTTTAGAATGTATTCAGATAAGTATGCCATTAGACAACGGAAAGCCTTACGTTTCGAGCTCCCGCTGTTGTTGCTCCCTCTTTAACTTTCAGTTCTCTTCCTCATCTGTTCCAAAATTTTTACATTCTTAACACTTCCTCATGTTGCACAGATTTTCCCCCCTGTACTGCTATGACAAATTCTGAAAAGTAGAGCAAACTAAACATTTTTTTCTTACTTAAATTTCTTTTTTGCTCCAAACCATTTAATTTGAAAATGGCCGATAGATTTGCTGGATGTTTGAGACTGAGTAATTGACCTGATGTCTTTAAGTTAAATGAAAATTTAGCCCTGGGGATAAGGATTAAATTAATGGATGCAAAAGACCAGAAATTTGTGTAAAAAATATATTGATTTACGGATTTGTGAGACTCGTCTTTCCAGGAGCATACTATTGTATTAATTTGCCAATTAAATGCTGTAGTTTGTTTTCTTCTACTTCACTCAGCTTCAATACTGCCCTCCTATGCTTAATAAACTGCTAACATGACATCCTGGAAACGTCATTAGTTCATATAGCAGACGAGGCTGGTAACTGGAGAAATTAAATTATACCCTTTGGAGACCACCATGTTCCCTCATTCTTCTTGAAGGAATTTATTAAAGCTGAAAGAAGTAGGCCTTATAGTGGAGACAAAACAGATCAGATTGTTTGATAAATTCCGCACTGAAATTCTAGTATGTAAATGAAAGTGATATGTTTTCAAAACTACAGTGATGTACAAGGATTGTCACATTTGATTACGTTATATGAAAATAGCTTTCAGTTCATCAGATATTAACTTCAGAGTGCATCGTCTGTGCACAGAAGTGACATTTGTGTACTTTGATCAGTAGTTCCAATTACATGCTTGTAATAGTAGTATGTTTGCATTTTAGGTGATGATCCTCCAGAGAGTGCAGGAAAGACACCCAACTGGCTTTCGAGAGAACAGCTTTTTGTAGTGATATCGGCAGCTTCCATTAATTTATGTTCTATGATGTACTATTCTATCCTTGGACCCTTTTTCCCCAAGGAGGTAAGACATTTTTATATCCTTGTGAATTCTTAATTTTTAAAAAGCCTTTTGAATTATTTCATTTTACAATATGTAAAATATAAAGATATGAATATAGTAAAGGTGATATATAGAACATCAGCAAACTGAAGACTTCTTACAAAATATTTGATACCAGAGAAAGAAAATCTAGTCAGAAAGAACATCATCTTAGGAGGTAATTCATCTAAATATAATTGATCTTCCAAGGATTACTTTGCTTATCATGTAGTTTGATTAATATTTACTTGGTTTCTGCAAGTGGAAAAAAAAAGTCCACACTGAATAACTGAGATTTTAATGGTCTTGCAAAAGGGTTGTGTTAAGACAGTAACTCTGTTTCCTGGAGTTTGGGTTTATTGATATTTTGAATTAGGAAGCCATGATTCACTAAAATCCTTTTTCTGACTTGAATTTCTTGTGGAATCTAGAAGCAATGTTGGTGCCAAGGAGGAATTCTGCTTAATATTGACTGGTTCTTTCTAATCATAGACTTTTATATAGTGTCAGGGTCTATAGATAATGGCACAGACTCAAAGGGAATAACCCCTAGAGAATTGACCTGGAATCTGGAGGTCGATAGGATATAGTATGAAAAGAATGATACTGGCTTGGCTGAATATAATATGACCATGTGTTTTATACTTCACGTTCTTTGCCAAAGCCTCAACTTAGTCAGTGCACTGGCCCTTCTCAGCCCTCTAACTGCTTTGATGAAAGTCTGTGTGCCACAAAAGACGATAAAAATTGTTCTCCGCTGAAGAACAATACGGCTCTATACTCATACAATGCTGTTTAGTTTTCAGTGTACTTTTCCACACATTTATCCCAGTTGATCTCTGCAGCTACTCCATAAGATAGGCACAGTAATGAGAATCTCATCATGTTGCAAATGAAGAAGCCAACTCCGAAGTTAAGAGACTAGTGCAATCCAGTTCTGTTGACTGAATGAGGGTAGGGGGTTAAGGACTTCTCACTCTAGAGTATGCTAGGCTTTGGATGCTAGGGAAGAAAAAAAGATCAGGAAAATGTCCCTCTCTTGTCTGTCATCCTTTAAGAAAAGGTTAACCAAAATGTTATGAGACTCTAGAGGAAGGAATGGTGGGGGTGGGGAGTGTTGGGGAGGGAAGGAGAAGAAGGACTGGTACAGAAAGGGACTTCACAGAATAAATCTAAGGTGGATCTTGAGAAACAGTCTTCCTCAAGGTGACCAGCAGAGGCAGTGGTGTTCTAGGAAACAGCTTGAGATAGTCACAAGATTAGCAAAGTAAATAACTTGTTCTTGGAGAGTAGCAGACAAGCAGTGTGGCCTGGGCCTGGACCTGGGCCTGGGGTGGAGTGAACTTTCAAAGGAGCTGGAGGACCTGGGGAGGCAGGTTGGAGCTAGAATGCAAGAGTCCTTACATGCGTGGCAGAGATTTGTTCAAGGAGAAGTCATCAGAGGTGTTTGAGCAAGACAGAGTAGCTGTCTTTTCCTAACGTGAAGCAGGATCCGTGTTCCGAAAGTATCCAGCTGCTACTGTGGTATGTAGTCCTAGGACATCTTAAGTCACCATTCTGTGTCCATAGTGAATGTGAGAACATGCACTAGATGGAAACTGTCAAGGCCGCAGTGATTGTGTAAACTTTGCCAGTCTGTGTCTTCATTGATAAAATGGGGCCAGCTAAAAATACATCCCTTATTTCATTGTTGTTAGCTAACATGTAAAACAGCACTTAATGGAGATTCTGGCACATAGCGAAGACCCAATAAATGTTAGTTGCTGTAACCCTTATGTATTTTCTGCCAGATTCTAGAATTATATACTTAGATCTCTTAAGCCAAGAACATGAATACTATAACTTGACTAATCAATGTTCTTCTACATCTTAATTGACTCTTTTGATAACACCTTCCCTTTGAGGCACCTGTTCTAGTTTGCTAGGGTTGTCATAAAGTACCACACACTGGGTGGCTTAAACAGCAGAAATGTGATATCTCGCAATTCTGGAGGCTGGATGGATCAAGGTGGCAGCAGTGTTGGTTCCCTCTGAGGGCTGTGAGGAAAGGATCAATTCCAGGCCTCCCTCCTTGGCTTGTAGGTAGCTGAGTGCTTCCTCTGTCTCTTCATGTGGTTTTCCCTCTACGCATGTCTCTGAGTCCAAATTGCCCCTTTTTATAAAGGTGCAATTATTTTGGATTAGAGCCAACATGCTGACCTAATTTTAACTTGATTACCTCTGTAAAGGCTCTATCTCCAAATAAGGTCACATTCTGAGGTGCTGGGAGTTAGGACTGCAACATATGAAGTTTGAGGAACAAAATTCAACTCATAACGCTACTTGACCTTTGTGTAATAGAAAAGTCAACTTCATGTTTTGGCGTATATATAGCACAACTTTTTGCTAGGATGCCATTAACGTTATCTCTTATAATGAGATCTCTCTTGTCTCCATACCATTATCTCATGTGGTTAATAGCAATAGAAGGGGAATGGCTAATTCTGAATCCCATAGAATTATGGACTTAAATCCTGCCCAAGTTACTACATGACTATAGTATTGTAGGTTCAATGTCTCTACTGCTGCCACCAGATACTTAAGGACTGAATTTTAGGGGGGGACTTTTTAGAGTAAGGGGGCTCTTCCTAAAGTTTACCTGAGAATAATAGAGTTCACGTCTCTGGTTTCCTGTGGTGTTATGAGAAATATAGGGTTTATTTAAAGAGACATAGTCTGACATGAAAAGAACATTTTTGAAAAAGGCAAAGATTGAGTGATGATGATAACTTTACATATACAGCAACAATGTAAAATTTTATCTTAAATTGTGGTTAGGGAGAAAAGGTGAAGAAATGTGCTTATGGCTGTTGTAGAGAATGGATTTTGAGGGGTGTAGGAGTGTGGGTGTTTGCACATGCATTTCTGTATTAAGAGTAAAGTTATTTGCAAAATAGCTGAAGCGCTGGTGAAAGGATGATTCTAAATCGGATCTTCCAACCATCAATATTCACTGCTGGCTCCCGGTACAATGCCTGGCACATAGAAGGTGCTCAATAAATGACCATTGTCTGCCTGAGAAGACAGAGAATTGTGTAGTTCAGGTTTACACTTCGTAGTGTACCAAGTTGCCAATCCTATCTTAAAGAAATTAAACTGATTTTAACTCCTTGAAATGGCTATAGCTAGAATGTGATGCAAGGACCTACATTTCCAGGGTCTAAAAATGTTTTTCAGACCTTCTGTCTGTTTTTGTACATGAATTCAGTTGTACATCACCACTAATAGTAGCATTCAGAGTTCAAAAGAAGTAGGTTTAAAATAAATACCCTATTGTCTGTGGCAACTTTAGGAACACACTGATAGAATAGGCAGTCAACATTAAGAGGTACAGTTGATGGATGATATACTCCTCTTAAGTGTTTTAGGAGAACATAGAATGCTGGGGGAGGCATCTTTTATCTGTGTTGATGTCAGGAAAGAAAAATTTGGCTTCTTTAAACTGTCAGGTGGTTGGTACTAATATTAGAAACAGAGAACTAGACTGAATGCGCCTTGGCATGACTCATGCCAACATCAAGTAGCTTCCTGTTCTGGAGTTTTTTGACCAGCAGAGTGTTTTTTGTTTTTAGTAGAGTTCAATCCTATAGCTAAATGTGATACTGAGTAAGAAAACTCTTCCTCCTGTGTGTTTTTTCTTTACTCTTACACTACTACCATACTCACAACACTGACACCAGCTGTGTAGAGTTTTTTACCCCACACCAAGCCATTCTCTGTATCACCAGCTCCCCTCTAGCAAATGGGGGTGGTGGGCTGAAGATTCCAGGCTTCTAATCATGGTTTGGTCTTTCTGGTGGCCAGCTCCCATCCAGGAGCCCACCCAGAGTCACTTAATTAGAACAAAAGACATTCCTATTGCCCAGGAAATTTCAAGGGACTTAGGAGCTCAGTGTCAGGAACCAGAGTCAAAAACCAAATATTAGAACAGAAGATGCTCCCATTGTTCTTATCAATTACAAGGGTTTTAGAAGCTCTGTGCCAGGAACCGGGGGCAGAGGCCAATACATTTCCTGTTATCTCACAGATATCATAAAGGAGGCATGTCAAGATCAGCAGCTTGCTCGGTTTCATGGGTGAAGTAGAGCTCAAATTTCCTCAGCCAAGACTTCGTGCTTTTATTTATACTCTTAGACTCTCTAATTCTAACTTTTTGCCAGCTAAAGCTATCATTTTTGTTTTTGTTTTTTTTTTTTTTTGATGGAGGCTTTATTGAAGTATAATTAATATACAAAATATTTCACACATTTAATACATCCATCTTACTGAGTTTGGTTTGGACATATGCATATATACCTGTGACATCATCACCACAATGAAGATACTAAACATAGTATCCATCACCTACAAAAATTCTCTTGTTCTTTTTGTGAGATTTTTTTTTCTTTTTCTTTATCCTTTTCTTCCTCTCTTTTTGAGATAACAACACAACATGAGCCCATCTTTTTAACAGAAAACTTTTACACCCAATGAGCAATAATTCTCCACTTTCCCCTCCCTAAAGCCCCTGATACACACCATTTTATTTTCTGCTTCTGAATTTGACTATTTTGGATACATCATATAACTGGAGTTATGTAGTATTTTTTATTCTGTGTCTGGCTTATTTCACTTAGCATAATTTCCTCAAGGTTCATCCATGTTATTGCAAATGCTAAGGTTTTCTTTTTAAAAAAACGAGTAATATTCCACTGTATACAAGACCACATTTTCTTTATCCATCCGTCTGTCAATAGGTAGATATCTGGTTGTTTCTATACCTTAGCTATTGTGAATAATGCTGCAGTGAACATGGGGCTGCATATCTCTTTGAGACAGTGCTTGCAATTCTCTTGTATATATACTCAGAAGAGGGTTTGCTGGTAGTTCTATTTTTAACGTTTTGAAAACTCTTCTGTTTTCCATAGTGGTTACAACATTCTAGATTCCTACCAAATATATTCCAGTTTCTTCACATCCTCACCAACACTTATTTTTTTTTTTTCAGTAATAGCCATTCTAACAGGTATTAGATGATACCTTATTGTGATTTCAATCTGCATTTTCCTGATGGTTAGTGACCTCGAGCACCTTTTCATATACCTAGTGCCTATTTGTATGTCTTCTTTGAAGAAATGTTTATTCAAGTCCTTTGCCCACTTTTTAATCAGGTTCTTTGTGGGTTTTTTTTGTTGTTGTCGTTGTTATTGAATTGTAGGAGATTCTTATATTTTGGATATTAACCTCTTATCTAATTGATGATTTGCAGATATTTTCTCCCACTCTATAGGTTGTCTTTTCACTCTGTTGGTTTTTTCTTTTACTTTAAAGAAGCTTTTTGGTAGTCTCATTTTTCTACTTTTGGTTTTATTTTGAGTTAATTTTGTGAATGGTATAAGATAGGGGCCCAATTCAATCCTTTCTTATATGGATATCCAGTTTTCCCAATACCATTTCCTAAAGAGACTATCTTTTCCCTATCATGTGTCCTTGGCACTCTTGTAGAAGATCAGTTGACCATATGAACATGGGTTTATATCTGGGCTCTCTTCTGTTCCACTGATCTGTCTGTCTGTCTTTATGCTGGGCCCATACTGTTTTAATTATTACAGTTTTATAATTCACTTTTGAAATCAGAAACTGTGATACCTCCAACTTTGTTCTTCTTTCTCAAGATCATAAAGCTAATAATTTTTTTAACACAGTGGAACCATCAATTTTATTAGACTTAGGTATAACCACATACAAAACAACAGTTATATTTTGAAAATATAACAATTCTTTATAAGCATGATGAGTAAATTATTTCCATGTCAAGGGCTAAGTTTTAGTATAGTTTCCCTTACTTCCCCACCATGTTCATTTTAGAATAATAATTTTTAAGATTGCTACACAGATAAAGGTTACAAGAAGACAGTGGTCTGATCTAATAGCTTCATTTTTCCATGTAGATGCTAATTTGTCTTTCAAAGTCTGTTTCTTTTTCAATTTCTTTAAAGGCTGAAAAGAAAGGAGCCAGTAATACAGTTATTGGTATGATCTTTGGATGTTACTCTTTGTTTGTATTGCTGGCATCTTTGGTATTTGGAAAATATGTAAGTATTAAAGTTCATATGTACATTTTAATTTTTAAAAATTACATAATGAGTTATTCTAATTTATTAGTCTAGAATTTCCATTGATACCGAAATAACCATCATTATATTTTATGAATTGTGCCACTGTTGACAGTTCCATTCTTAGGGTAGATTGATTATTAATTTTTTTTATGTTTGTAAGAAACGTATGTTTTTATTCTATTAAGAAATTATTATTATATTAACTGCTCATATCTTTTCCAAATCATGTATTTCCTAATACAGTGGATTTGTTTATATCAATGTAGACTTGTAGCGATTATCAATTTACCACTCTTCTTTGACATTTATTATAGCTTGTACGTATTGGAGCAAAATTTATGTTTGTAGCAGGAGTGTTTGTCTCAGGAGGAGTTACAGTTCTCTTTGGGTAAGTCATGTTCTAATATGTTTGGAAGCTTCAGTTTAAAATGTTAATGGATTCCTTATATTAGTCAGCACCACTGATTGTCTGTTTAGTGCTAGGCAAGTGACTAATGGTGAAGAGTGTTGGGTGATATAGAAAACAGGACAAATCTTAAGAGCCTTTAGGGGATCACTAATAAGCTGGCTACTGAATCTGTTCATTAGGACTCTTGTGACTATGAGTGATAGAAGTTTAACTCACTTTTTTGAGTAACAGAAACGTTTTGGCTTAAGCAAGAAAGTGAATTTCTTACCTAGAGAATCAGCTGAAGAACATCAGGATACATGTGTTAAGATAGTGTCATCAGAAGTTCCTGGTTTTGTTTTCCTCTGCTTTGTTCTTGGATAAACTCTCCCCTTGAGGGAGCAAGATGGCCCTTAGCAGCTCCTGTAGGAAGAAAATGCCACTTTCATTATAGTTTCTAGTAAAGTCACAGAACGGAGAGCCCCACTGGCCTGATCTTTGTGGAAGACCCTGTCCCTGTATCAAGGTCACTGTAGCCCAGGAGAAGAGAATGCTCTGATTGGTCATGTGCTCACTTCTGAGCTTGGCAGCAGAATGGCTCCCTCCACTGCTCTTTCAAGAAACAGGGAAAATAAGTGCCAGAGGCAAAATAACTATGAACATTCTTAAGCATAGAGTCCTTAAACCAATGGCGTAGTGGCAAATAGTATGGAAGAGCTTACACAAGTTCTTGAGGGACATAGTGGAATGCTAAGAGTTTGGTAAGACTGTGATGAAGTAAGCTCAAGAAAACCTTCATACTGAATTGTTTTTAAAATGTTTCTTTTTTTGAGTGTGTGTGGGGTCTTCTATTTCCTGCATTCACTCATTTTTTTTGAGGGTTTGAGCCCCACCATGGCGTGGGGTCGGCGGGGGGAGCTGGAACTAAGCAATCTTCTCTATAGGTTGTTAGAGTGATTCCACATATTGCAAAAGGCCTTCTAAGTATTATCATTTATCAATTATGTCAGCAGAAAAGGGCAACTAAGCTCTTATTATGATTCAAATTATCAGAAAAAGAGAGATAATTTTCTTCTACTCAATGTATAACAAAGCAACTTTTAAAAAAATTCATATTCTAAAGATATTTATTTTAATAACTGTGAGTGAGGTACTTCTTGTTTCAATGAGTACAGTTAAAAAGTAAAAAAATTAAAACCAACTTTGCATTTGAGAATTGTCTTATTCTCTTTTAGTGTATTGGACCAAGTTCCAGAAGGACTGATATTTATTGCTATGTGTTTTCTAGTGAGAGTGGCAGATGCAATAAGCTTTGCTGCAGCAATAACTGCATCTGTTTCTATCCTTACAAAGACTTTTCCAAATAATGTGGCCACAGTATTGGTATGTATTTCATAATTTTTTTCTATTTTCTTTTTAATGTCAGCTAAAATATTTGTTTTACCTTCCAAGTCAAAGCTGGGGTCCATTCTACTAACCCTGCTCTTTTCTACAGTCTGTGTTTGTAACCTTTTACCTTTATGCTCAAACAGAAACCTAAGTGAGACTAACGGTATAATTATTGACAGCTTGTTGCTGAATTTGTACTTTGGGCGTAGAATCCCCCAAATGGGCAGTTTGACAAGTAAATGCGGTCCAAGCCAAATACTCTTTATACCACAGTTTTTAAAAAAAAAAAAAAACACAAAAAAACCCTCCCTAGTAGTATTTTGCTGTCTCTCTGTAGCCTAGATGCCTGGATTGGGTCTTGGCTGCCTGAAGTGCTCCTAAGGCTTTAGAAAAGAGTTATCTTTAATGACCAAACACTGTTTTTATACTAGAGTCCTTCCTCGACTTTTCCCAGATTCGTGGAGGGGATCTTTGAGATCATCTGGAAGTCCATAACTGCTTCTGTGCTGTCAGTCTATGTAGTGCACTCTTCTTTTGCTATAAAAGCCCTTCTGTAAGGGCTTACAGTTCTGTAAAGTGACTTGGACCCATCAGAGCCTCTTTTAAAAAGGCCGGAGGGTGAGTTTTGGGCCCTGCACACAGTGTGAAGGGGTGGGGCAAACCGGGGAGCAAAGCCCCATCCAAAAGGGTAACTCTGTTCCAGAAGGAGATTCCCACGTGGAACATGAACCCAGGGTGGACAGACCTTCTGAGTTTTTACCCAGACCCTGGTAGAATGTATTGATGTACATTCTTATGTATTGCCTAGGTGCCTAGACATGTGGTATTAGTGACGTACCAGATTCCTGTCCCAGCGTTTGGCTACTGCCTCCTTGACCCCAGGCAGGCTTTCCCATAGCTCTTTCTTTGGACCCATGCATCCTTGAAGGAACTTCTGGACAGCCCACCAAATGTCACCTCAGAGCATATAATTGTCCTCTAGACCTCAGGTCTAATCAGCTTAGTATCAAGCACTCCCTCATTTATCCAACTAATACTATAGTCTGAAAGTTGTGACCATCAAATAAACTATTCGCAGTGTAGGTAGGTATCTTCCCACTTTTTATTAAGCCTATTTATAGCTTGGTAGGCACATTTTAGGTTATATAGCCATTTGGTATGCAGTGGTGGCCATTGTGACAGGTATACTTTTTACATTTCCTGGAAATATATTTCTCAAAAAGGAATCAGAAGATTATTCCGTTGACATGCTTTGTAAACAAGGTTTTGTGGCTATACATGTTTGGAGCGTACATATGCTGTCCAGTTCACCATTGTGTATTAAGGCTTTGAGAAATTCTGTAGTAGAAATACTTTAATGTTCCACAACTGAATTTGACTATGGAACCACTTTTTAACTCTTAAAGAACTAGTGTTCTGTGGAACACTCTGGAAAGTGCTACTCAAGAAATATCTATTATGATGATCAGTACTATAATCCAATAGTTCATTGGATTTTCTGAATTGTAGCCAAAAGATAACAAAGTTAACATGATAGTTAATCTGGATGATTTTATCATGCATGATTAAATGTAGAATTCCTATATTCTTTATGAAACATTCAGAGTTATTATTGAACTACTTTTGTATCTTCTGTGAAGGCTGAGGATACAAGGCTGTAAGTAAGTCATAGGTCTCTGTGTAAAGCCCCTAAACTAGATTGATTTAAAATGACGTAATTTCTGTAAGAGTTCTGTAATAGTAAACTATTTTTTCCAAAGTGCTATTTTATTTTAATTTTAACAAAAAGAATTTTATATGCTACAAAATTCAAAAGTTACAAAAGGAAATATAGGATATAGTGAATATGTTCCATATGTTACAGTTCCTCACCCTTCATAGACACACCTGTTGTCCAGGCACCTAGTCTAGCATCACTCTCTCAGAGAAAGCAACAGATATTATAGGTTTCTTCCAGAGTGATTCCATGTATTTATGTACATACATGTACACACACACACACACACACACACACACACACACACACACACACACACACACTGAGAGAGAGCATGATTCCCTCCCTCTATTTTATTCACACTAATGGTAGTATAGTCTACAAACTGTTCAGAATCTTGCTGATTATGCTAACAATGAAATCATCTTGGAGATCTTTCTGTACCTGTACATGAAAAGTTTCTTACTCTGCTTCTCTTTGTACTTCACTAGTTTATTTAACTTGATGAATATTTAGATTGTTTACATCTTTTGCTATGGCAAATAGTGCAACAGACATAAACTTATACATATACCATGTCACATCTTTATGGCTATACCTTGTCACATCATTGTGGATTTGTAATTTTATCTCCCAGAAGTGGCATTCTTGGTCAGAGAATGTGTACATTTGTAATAATCGATCAGCCAGATCGCCCTCCAGTGTTCACTCACCAGCAATGTACGAGAGTGCTTTTTTCTTCATATCCTTGGCAGCGTAGAGAGTTTGATAGGTGATAGGTAAACATAGGTCTCTTGTGCTTTAAATGTTAATTTCTTTTAAAAGTAACAGCGAGCTTCTTTTTTACATAACTAAGAGCTTTGTATTTAAATTTATTTGTCAACAGTCTATTTATAGCATTTGCCCATTTTCCTATTAGGTACTTCATTTTTTTTCTCATTAATCAGTAGTACCTCTCTTGAGGACCTATTTGAGAAATTAGTCCTTTGTCAGTATTTTCCCTCTATTCTTCATTTGTCTTTTGTTGTTTTGCCATGCATAGTTTTTCCTATTTTCACATAAGCGTATTAATCTTTTTGAGTCTTCGTGTCATAATTAGAAAACCTTTCTAACTGTAAAGATTAAAAAACAAAACAAAAAAAGCCTCCCACATTTAATTTTTCTAGTACTTTTATGATTTCAATATGTATGTTTAAATTTTGGATCCATCTTGGGCTTGTGTGTGTGTGTGTGTGTGTGTGTGTAGACAGAAATTGTGAGATAGATTTTTTTTCAGATAGTGCCCATTAAATATTTGTTAATTTTTCAAACACGATGTATTAACTCAATTTTTTTTTCCCCATTTTTAGGGAAGTCTTGAGACTTTTTCCGGACTGGGACTAGTGCTAGGACCTCCTATAGGTGGCTTCTTGTATCAATCCTTTGGCTATGAGGTGCCTTTTATTCTTCTGGGATGCATAATTTTGCTGACGGTACCACTCAATATGTGTATTTTACCCAACTATGGTAAGACTACATTTATTACTCATTGTAAAAACCTTAGGCTATATAAGATGGGGGAGCAATGTCACACTTTCCTTCCCAGTGGTCTTTGCAGCTAGCTGTCTGTGCAGCACAGCCCAGGTGCAGGGACACAGGCCACAGTAATGGGAGTCATCCTGGCCTCAAAGCTTCATGCCCTGTAGGAGTTAACTTATCCTGTAACAAAGCCATGGGCACAGCTGCCAAGGTCTCCACGAGGAACATACTGGGTACAAGTCTGCACACTCAGGGAAGCACAAATATCTCACCAGGTATTTATTTATTGTTTGGTTATAGTTCCTTCTTTACGGATGAAATTTGCCAGGCAAGGGTCATCTTTTTTATGAGCAAGCTTATCTAGTAACATAGTTGGCGTTTTACCTTTATCAAATTACTAGGAGAACAAGGCTAGAGAATTAGCTGGAGAGGAGAGAGCTAAAGAATGTTGCTAGAGAGGCACCACCACCCTGAAACACACAGTGATGCCTGTCCTCTTTCTTCACCAATAACACCTTAACAAGGATGGTTCTGTATTCCAGCATGCTGTGCTGTGCTCAGACTTGGTTCACAGATGAACACTTGACCGATAACTAAGAAACTGACGCCAGCTCAGATTCTAAAAAAAAGAAATAGTTTTTAACCCTTTACCACAATGTAGAAGAAAAAAAAAGACTTTGCTTACTAATTAATGGTAGGACATGGTATGATTAGATGCTGCACTGACCCCAGCATCTCTTATTCCTTGAGTCCCAGCCTGCTCTCCTCATTTTCTCCCCTTAATCTCACATTTTGATATCTTTTTCAGCCCCCTCTAATCGCCACCAGCCTAGTTGCTTGGTACTTATTTCTCTTCATTCCTGTTACTCCTCAATTAAAATTTCCCTGCATATTCATTGAACTTAGCAAAGTCCCAGCTAGCTGTATTATTATGAACAAAATGGTTTGACAAACTTGAAATTTATGTACAGAAGGATCCTATAGTTAGATTGAGTGGAAAAAAAAAAAAAAACAGGTGCAAAAAAACCTCTTAAGATTATTAATGTAAGGCTGTAAATATAGATTTAGGTGTTGCCATCAAGGAGTTTTAAAAATTATTGTTTTAGGAGAGCTTATAGATAGAAGCTAGAAAATTAAATTTAGTTATTTTGATAATATTTGCAGAATTTTTGTTCTACTCCATTTATTTACTTCCTTCTAGACCCATGGACAATGTGGCTTTAGCTTCAGTGGCTAAGTTAGCTTTGGTCCCTTCCTCTCTCTCATCCTTTATATCTGCTCTCTAAGTCCCCTCTTCTGTACTGCTTGAAAGAAATATTTCTAAAACACAGTAATTTTCTAAAACACAGTCCTCTTATGAAAACCTCTAAATCTATGAAACGTGAACTTTATCCAGAAAGCCATTAGGAGCTGTTGTTAGATCTCAGCAGGAGGGTCACATGAGCTGGAATATTTCCCCCTCCCACTCAACCTAACTCTTACGCATCCTTCAAAAATTAATTTATATTACCTCTTTTGGGAAGTTTTTCTGAACCTTCTCCATCATTGGACTAAACGCTGAGTAAGTGGAACTGCAGTGCTCAGTATTTTTCCTTCCCCCCACACTCGAAGGGTACCCCACTTCTTTCCTCATTTCCCCATCGCTACCAGTAGTTTCCTTTGGCAGGCATTATCAAGCAGGGAGTCATCCCTCTCTAAGAAGAATATGTCAGAATTGGAGGGAGCAGAGAGAGTACTGGAGTGGCTTGGAAAAGCCTCCTAGGTGATTCTGACATGTTTCTCTAAGCAGATATTACCCTAAGTTTTCATTACCTGAGTTTCTTCAACAGCTTAATTAGATTCATGTGTTTGTTTTCACGGACATTCAAATATGTTATCTTGGTAACCCTTTTCACACTTTGGTTTTAGAGAAGGGGACCATTTATACCATAATAGCTTGTCTTATACCATAAATGCATAATACCTTTTATATGCACAAGAAATGTAACAGATTAAAGTTGATCTTTTATAATTTATACCTTAAAGATGACTAATAAACATCTTTAACATGCAGTTTAAAATCCACGTCTCCTTGTGGCACTACCACACTCAGCCACACGATGGTGCTTGTCATCTTTCTAAGTCTGACTACAAGCTGTCCTGGTAGTTGAGCATCCTGGGCTGTGCTCAGATTTGGTTCACTATTAAATATTTGGTTGACAGTTAAGACACTAACACCGCAGTTTACTTTATGACTCATATCCTGACAAAGTCTATATGTAGCACTTAAAATGGTTGGATAGTTGAACCATTCTTTGTGCTGTTTTGTACTTTGTCCATACTGTATCATTATTCAACAAGAATTTTTTCAGTAATGAACCGCAGTGGATGATATTGAAGAAATGAGGAGAAACGAGTGCTGATCGTGGCTCTCAAAGAGCTTCCTGATCCAAACTTAGCCAACATCACCTCAGGCCTGGATCACTGCAACTTCCTCCTAAGTGGTCCTCCGTTTCCCTTCTCCACGTGGCTACAGAGAGGTTGCCTTAAACCACAGATCTGATTTATCTAATTTTCACTCCTCGTTTGAAATCTCTAGTGATTTCTCAGGCTTCTTAGCATATTTTACAAAGTTCTGCACAATCTTATCCCTACATTTTTCTGCAGTATGATCTCCCCCTGACTCTGTAGACATGCCCTGCCCCAATCTCTGTCCTCCAACTTTGCTTCTCTTCTTTCATTTTCTCAAGCACAGAATAGTTCTTCCTTACTTCTGAGTCTTAGATGTGCCATTCCTGGAATAATATGCCTGGATTATTCTTTCCTTCTTTGCTTACTCGTCTCAAACTCCTTTAGGCACCAACTTTTTTTTTTTTTTTTTTTTAAGGAAATCCTCTCAAATGCTCCAATAGGTACTATCCTAGCCCAATACCTCTTAGTTCTCTTCACTTCTTATTGTAACTCCTCTGTGAGGACAGGCTCTTTGCCTTTGTCTGCCCAGCATTTTGCATGGTACCTGGCTCAGCAAAGATTTTTTTCAGTAAATTAATTGGAAGATGGGAAAGCCACCAAACAATAGGAAACAATGTAAAACGAAATGTAGTTTAGGTGCTAAAATATATGGTATAGACTTGAAGTGCAGCCGGAAACCAGAGAAAGGTACAATTTGTGTAATAATTAGGGACATAGCCAGACCTTACAGAGTGAATAGAGTTGGAAGAATTAGAAGAGGAAAAAGAAAGGAGTCATAAAATATGACTGGAGGCTTGAAAACAACCATGCCTAGTTGGGGGAATGGTGGAAAGGAAGGTTAGAGCTCAAATGACCTTAAGTGCTAAATGTAATTTACACATGATTCAGTAGCACCTCTACATTCAGTGTTTTCTTTGCTGGCAGGAAACAATTGTCTGTTTTTTCTTTTTTTCTTTTTGATTAACTCAAATTCTTCCTCAGCACATACATATTGTTCCTTGATAAAGTTTCTGGCTTTTCCCATGCACTAAATTAAATTTTACATATTCTCTATGCTATCTGGGGGAAAGCCTCACTTGCTGCTAGGTTATAACCTATAACCCTTTCTTCTCCTCACACCCAGATTCTAGTTGATTCTTTTTGAATTTGAGACATTATTTTTGAGAAAACCAAATGCGGCCTCTAGGTTTGAGTAACTTATATGCAAATATAGATAATATACAATTTTAGGCAAACTCAGAGGTACAGTTATTTTATTCCTAGGTAAAGATGGCCTTATCAGTTTTACTTTTCAAAATAGGTTAAATTATAAAGTTAAATGATTTAAATTACTTCAATTTTTTTCTTCATTTTACCCCGAAGAGTCTGATCCAAGTGAACACTCGTTCTGGAAACTCATCACTTTACCCAAGGTCGCTCTCATAGCCTTCGTCATCAACTCACTCAGTTCGTGTTTAGGCTTCCTTGATCCTACCTTGTCTCTCTTTGTTTTGGAGAAGGTAAGTAGCCTGATTGCCAAAGGGCTCTGCATTGTAGAAGGTGGACACAGATACTTGCTCTCGGGCCCTGCTTTGTGGAAAGTTCTCTGAGTGGCGGCGAAGAGGAGGCGGAGTGAGAATTGTACAGTGAGGTAGCCTGTACCTTCGTCTGTGATATCCCTGTAATGAGGGGTTTGATTCAGTGTAAGTCAAAGAAACCTTTTACTATGTGGCCCCAACATTGAGCTCCAGTCATCATAGGCTGAGCTCGAGTCATGATAGGTCTAGCTTACATATCATCCTCCCTGTTTAACAAGGATGGTTTTCCTCTGTTCATTTGAATTCCAGTGGGGAACTTGGGGTACTCAGTGGCTCGTTTAATGTGAGGTGTCCTTCTTCTCTAACAGATCCCCTTTGAGCCCACTTACTTCAAAGGCTAATGCATATGAGCGAATGACTATAGACTATATTAATCAGGTATGGAGAGAAGAACCAAGAGCCATTCCATTTTTTTTAGTGCTGGAAAATAAATAACGAATTCTATAAGGTTGATATCATAGAAATTTATTCTTAGATGTTCTTGAAAAAGATTATTAATAATGCAATAGAGTATATTACTAAGTCTGGTAGTTAATTATATTGGAGAATTAATATACATCTATAAAGGCAGAAATCTATCAATTGCAGCCCACAATGACTTTATGTTAGGCACTAGAATTCAAAAAGCACAGTTACCAGAAACACAGCCCTTTCAAGTCATTACAGACAGTGTTGGGTATGTGAACTACCCAAAAAGATAAACTTGGAGACTGTAGTTTTAATGTGTGGCACTAGGTTTAGAGAAGAATAGAATATCATTATTCTCTTATCATTAAAATGCTTAAGCAGTAAGCATCCAGGACGTAACACATGAGAAAAATACGTTATGGTGACACATTCCATACACATCAACAGTGTGTCTCTTGAATGGTCATTTTTTTCTGTCCATAAGGAGTTGTGTCTAAACGATGGAAAAAATTTATAACCATTCTCTAGTAAACCCAAGTTGCTCATGTCTATCTTATAAGAAATCTTTAGAAATGTATTTTCCTATATTTCTATCCATTTTTTTAATCCTTTTGTCCTTCTGATTTCTTATTAGTTGTTTGAATTGGCAGTTTGCTGTCCAGTCATTGGTTGCCCAGCCTTTTAGGGTGAGAATCAGAAAATCTAGGGCTAGGTTCCAAGAACCTCTTTTAACAAGTTCTCCAGGTAATTTCATGCACACAAATGTTTGCAAAGTACCAGTTTACATGTAAAAAGCTGTAATTCATAAAAGCAAAATTATGTTAAGTGCTACAAAGTGAAAAATCGAGGACTTCTGACCTCCGGTTAGGTTGTTTCCCCTCATAGAGAAAAAGTAATCCATTTACAAAAGTAAGTCAAAAATTAGGAAAGGTGCTGAATGTTATTAGTAGACTCATGGTAAATAACAAGAGCTGAAGAAATAGTAGACAAAAGGTATTTATTTAAAAAATGACTTAACCATGTAACTTTGATCCAAGATTTCTTTCACAGTTTCATTTACCAGCTGGATATGTGGGACTCGTATTCCTGGGTTTGGCCTTATCCTACGCCATTTCTTCACCTCTCTTTGGTCTACTAAGTGATAAAATGCCAGTATGTACACATAATTTATATTTAAGAATTGCTTTTGTATGTTTAGACCAGTGGTTTTCCATCTGTACCTCTAGAACTCCAGAGGTCCATTGATTAGAATTGACGTATTTTTTTTTTATTTCAGCTTTATTAGAATTGACATTTTTTTTTTCATTTCAGCTTTAATTGACAAAATTGTCAGATATTTAAAGTGTACAGTACCATGTCCATCACCTCACCTACTTATCTTTTTTGGGGGAGGGAGTAAGAACATTTAAGTTCTAATATATTCATTTTTTTTCAAGCTGATGGAGAGGTTCCACTGTGAGGTTCCAGTGACTTCCAACCTGCCATCACCCTGAACATATTTACTTTTAATTGCTTCCTTGGGAAAAAAGGAATCTTATGTTAAAACTTAAAAACCTACTGGATCAAACGTTCTAAAGGAAAAAGATTCCTTGATGCAAAATTATGGGTTGATTTTAATAATTAGGGCAGAATCCCAGAGGTAGTTAGGACTTGATCAGATTGAGAGGAGATAATTCAGTTTTTCTGTGGGAGTGAAAGGACTGACCATGTCATGCGAATTGGTTATTCCGTAGCCATCCTGACAGAACAGCCTTTCTATTCTCCTTTAACTAGGTCTAAGCCATTTAGTCCAGGTGACTAATACATAGAATGAGTACTGTCAACCAAGATTCAGGCTTCTATGGCTTTAGCACTTATTTTTTGCATTTCCCCTCTGAAGATTTGAATATATTTTTATCAAGACCTAAATTACGTGGAGATTATGAAGTAATCCAGGTGACAAAAAGCACATGTCTTAAATAGTATTTGGAACTGGGTTTTAAGACGTAGTCTTATATAACTGAGCCACTATGGTACACTTATCATTTTTAGCCTGCATTCAAGTCGTTTATAAGGAATAATGTTATTGGGTACTTTTTTCGATAATGTGAGTTTTCTAGCTGTTTTACCTACTAAGGAGTTCCTTTCAGTGACTGCTTTTTAATAGTATTATGTTTGAAATAGTCCATCTTCTGCAAAATCTGCAGTCCACTGCCTTTCTAAGGAAACCTGCCTTTTGTACATTCCCTGTCTCGGGGTATGTTGTCCCAGCTTTTATATTTACCATCAACCTTTTTCTCTTAAATGTAAAATTTTGTTTTATTCAGTGTATTTAGTGTTTTTTTTTGTTTGTTTGTTTGTTTTTATTCTTTGATTATGGAGGGTTCTAAGAGTTTCTTTGGTCTCTTTCTTTACCAGCATCTAAGGAAATGGTTTCTGGTTTTTGGAAACTTAATCACAGCAGGGTGCTACATGCTGTTAGGACCTGTCCCAGTCTTGCACATTAAAAGGTAATTTTTTTACTTCTGTATTTTTAGCTGAAAAACATTAGGAATTATTATTTTTTTTAATTTTGGTGTAATGCTGATATGGCTTAGTATTTCGAGCCTATTATGGAAATAATTACTTTGACTTAAGACTATATTGAATTGTTTTAGACCGACAGTATTTTACCTTACTAGAAGCTAGCAGTGGTACAAGCAAACAGGAATGCATAAGATCTTGGAAGTTAAGTGTCAAATGAGAAATATGCTTATTCTCCCTTTGTGTTTCCATTGCACACTTGCTTGTATTTTATTTTTAAAACAGAATTTGTTGCCACCTGCCTTTAGTTGATAGTTCTTAGAATATATTTTTGTTTTTGTACTCCTACTCCTTAAGGCAGGGGCCAAATCTTTTATTTTTTTTCCTGTATCATTCTTAGCATATAGTAACTGTTCATTAAAGCTTGTTTAATATAATATAAAGTGAGCCTCTTAGACTTTTTCAGGTACTTCTGGGATAAAGCATGATATGGAATGAGCAAGGATTTCAGAGTCCTTCAGATTTGGGGTTATATCCTGGCTTTGCCATTTACAAGATATGTGAACTTGGGCAAATCATTTAATCTCCAAAGCCTTAGTTTTTTTTATCTACAAAAAAGTCAGTAATAGAACTGTCGAAATAACTTTCTAGGCCCAAGAAGCCGTTCCTGCCTGGGGTGCCATATCAGCAAACCGAAGCTTAGATAACTTTTGTGTCACAATAAGTGCAGTCTATCTAGTCAGCCAATCCCCAAACGCCAAACTAACTCTGGGCCTTCTCACCCCGAACGGGTGAGACTGAGCCAATCAGATTTTTTCCTTTTTCCTCTTCTTTGTTCTTTATTCTTTATCCTATGAAAGTTTCCTGCCTTCCGCCCTATTTTGCAGTTCTCCAAAAGGAGATTGTCTACTTCACAAAGTGTTAAATAAAGTTTGTTTTTATTACCTAAATTGTCTTCTTTAATCATTTTGGAAAAGTACTTATATCACAGGGATGCTGCAAGAATTCGATGGAGTAATGGATGTTGAGTAACTGATACAGTGCCCGACACAGTACAAATATTAGTTTCCTGTCATTTTACCACTTTCTTTCTATGCCATTTTTCAGTCAATTGAATTTCAAAGTCGAAGAAACAAAGTTAACATTGGTATTATCACCAGTTTTGAAAAGATAAGTTTTGTATGGTGATAAGAAGGCCAATTGACTCTAGGTGCATGTTACATGTGACCAAAGACATTGAGATATAGAATGAATTGACTCCCGGTCTTCCCCGCCCCCCCCCCCTTGCCCCTTGCAAATATAAGGAGCTAAATAAAGGATGTTGTCACTGAATGAAATGGAATCAGATGCAAATAAGGATGAGATTAGTCCTGGAATCTATGAAAGGAACTTCTCTGGGATCCTATGTGCCGTCTTTAGCATGAAGCTTTGTGTCATTTAAAATGCTATTTTTTTTTCCTCCAAAACTCTTTTGCAGTCAGCTTTGGCTGCTGGTACTGATGTTAGTCGTGAATGGCATCTCTTCTGGAATGAGTGTAATTCCAACTTTCCCGGAGATTCTCAGTTGTGCATAGTAAGTTATTTCCAATGCTTGAAGAGCTGTATTTTGAATAGCAGTGAGCATCACAGGGTTTCTTGAATTTCTCAATTTTGTAGGATGTTCGATATTTTTTCACAATACTAAATTGTCATGATTTCATGTCACACACTATTGTAATATAAGTAGGATATGCAATAATACGATGATGTCAATGATAATATATACTCATATTAATATAATAATAGGTAAAATGGGTTGTGGATAGAGGTTTAGTGGTTTATGCCTCTGTACAGATATACTTTTAAAAAGACAAAGCAAAACGGAAAAGCCTCAGCATTGTTCCTTTCTTATGGAGGAGGTCCATGCAGAAACATAGAGTGGCCAGGTAAAGTGATTCTAGTTCCAGTGTCGGGGGGATTTTGCCACACTACCAAGCTGTTCTCTCACACCAGATGGATGTCCTACAATACAACTCAATTCTGACACTGGCAACACAGAGATACCATCAAATTTCACAGTTTAAGAGCTCAATCTCATAAGACTGCCCTTATTTTAGATGCCAAACATAAGTCCAGGTTGTCACCTATACTCCTGACTGACTGGCTGTATATCAAAGGCTCCCATGACCCCCTCCTTGGGTTTGATTGATTTGCTAGAGCAGCTCAGTGAACTTAGGAAACCAGTTTACTCACTAGATTATGGTTTATTAAGAAGGATAATAAAGGGTACGAATGAACAGCCAGATGAAGAGATAAGACAGGGTGCAGCCCTGAACAAAGGAGCTTCTGTCCTTGTGGAGTTTGGGGCCGTGCATGGTAACATATGCAAGCGTTCTGGTTCACCAGGGAGGAAGCTCTCTGAACCTCGTCCTTGTGGGTTTTTCTGGAGACTTCATTATATAGGCATGGTTGATTAGATCATTGTCCACTGGTAATTGATTTAACCTCCAGTCTCTCTCCTAGGACTCGGGCAGTGTGTATGTGTGGAGGGGTGGGGTGTGGGATCTGTGACTGAAAGTTTCAATCCTCTAATCACATGAGTGGCTCTCCAACCCACATCTTTAAGCCGTTTTTCAAAGATCACCTCATTAATACAACAAAAGACTTATTATTTTCATCAGGAAATTCTAAGAGTTTTAGGAGCTCTTTGCCAGAAATGGGGACTAAGACCAAATATATATTTCTTATAAATCACAATAGCACACCAGACATTTGTTACTTGGCCATCAGTCTTTTGTTTAGTAGGCATGGTGATGAACACAAAGTGAACTTAAGGGAGTTCATTTCTCTCTGATCTTCAAGGAGAATATTGGAAATTAGGCTGTATAAATTCAGCAGCCCTCACAGGAGTAAGGAGCTGCCCCTGTATTTTCTAAAAGTTGCCTATTGTTCTCTTTACATGTCAATCTCATTTTAAAAAGTTCTTTATTCATTATATATTTCGCAGAGCATTTAGTGCGAATGGATCATGATTCTTAATATCGTATCATATATGCACCAAAATTATTTTTAGAAAACCATGAGATTAACATTAGTATGAAATTCTTCAAATTAGATTAGCTTTTTATCTCAGAAATAGAGTGTTCTTGCTGTTAGTTTTGTCCAGATTATCTTTGGTTTGTTTTAATTTATCTGTCATGCACAATTCTTTCATGCAGGTTTCCCTTTTAACACAGATACAATCTTGTCTCTCTGCAGTGAAAATGGGTTTGAAGAAGGATTAAGTACATCGGCGCTCGTGTCAGGTCTCTTTAATGCAATGTGGTCAGTTGGGTGAGTAGCCATAAATTCCATCCACACGTGAAAGATGGAAAATACTATCCCTATTATACAATGAAAAAATTGGGATACTGAGACAAATGAGTTGCATGAAGGCACATAATTCATTTAGGGAGGAACCAGTGTTTTAACTCCCCCTCTGACTCCAAGATCATTGGTCGTACCAGCAGTTTTGATATTTAATCAAAATGGCCCCATATACTTTGTCCTATAAAAATGATATTTTTAAGTTCCTTCATCAGGAGTGGATCTCAGTTTTTAAAATTTATTCATTTGTTTATTTCTCACTTTCTACTATACCAGAGGGATAACGAGGCTGGCAATGTAGATATCATCAGTAAATATATACTGAATTATCATTTTTAATACAAATGCTGAGAAGAGTAGAGAGAATAAAGATTCTTCTGAATTCCTGTCATCCTTTTTTATTTTCCTATAAGGCACCAACTTTTCAGAAGCAGTTATAATTTTACAATTGATAAAGAGCATCATCATTATCAGGTAGAATTATTTTCTTATACCCAATGCTATGTCCGGGAATTGCTTTTTTTCTTTAGCACTGTTTTCTTTAGTTTCGGTTTAATAAAGATCTATGACTAGGGGATCATGCAGCCTTTAAAACGGAACTTTTTTTTTTTTTTGCACTTCCTAATACAGTTTTTTTTTCTTTTCATTAGTGCTTTTATAGGACCAACGCTGGGTGGATTTCTGTATGATAAAATTGGTTTCGAATGGGCAGCGGCTATACAAGGTCTGTGGGCTCTGACAAGTGTGAGTAATCAGCCTTTTATTTTCATATTTTTTTACATTTGTGGAGAAACATGACTTGGAGAATTGACATTGACCAGTACCTTTAATTGTGTTTAAGGGATTAGCGATGGGCTCGTTTTATCTATTGGAGTACTCAAGGAGAAGAAGGTATGGTCAACTCTTGAGCTTTTTTCTTCCTTTAAAACTCGGCCTGTGGGAATGAAAAAGAAGGACCACTTTACCTTTCTTCTTCCAGTCAGCAGATTTCTGGGCGCTCTGAGCCTCAGGATTTGATAGACACATTTAAGGAGGTAGCTGGGTACTGAGTTTTTTAATGTGAGAAATTTTGAGGTTCTTTTTTCTTTTCTTCAATGTAGATCGAAAATTCAAAAGAATCTTGGCACAGAGGAGGAACAAACTGCTCTCTTGCCTGATGAAATCTAACCTCAAGAATCTTGGACTGATATAGGATTGGGAGACGATGCTCCTGGCCTTGAATATTAAAGCTGGAAAGTTTGAAAAATTTTCTTAATTTTGTGCACAGAACTTCACGAGCCCCACAGCAACATTCCTGGAAGTGTCCATGTGTTTTTGGGTGATCTGTGTGGGGCTGTACTTACTGTCGTTCTGCAAAGCTGGCTTGCTGAACCAGCCATATTTGAAGCATTAAGTATGAGAAGAGTAGTTGAAAATCAGCACAGGTTTGTGTTTTTAGGTGACCAAACTGAGCCTTGAAGATATTATTGACTCCAGGACTCCTGTTTCCTCTGTTTACTTTTTATTGTAAATGTACTGATTCTGTGCATGTACCTTTTTATATTAACGAGGAAAGAAATTATATGCTTAAGGGAAGCTTAAGGAAAGTTGATATGGTTATAATATAAAAATAATAAAAAGATGACTCACATGTAGAACAATGACTATGAAATCAGTTTTTAAAAGATATGCATTATCTGTATCTGAGATTTTTGTTCCTGTTCAAAGGCAAAATTCCTGTCTACCATGCAAAAACTAACATTTCCTGACCCGTGGCTCTTCTGAAAATTTTGTTTGTATGAAAAGTATAAGAATAACATTACTTGAGAGTTCAAAGGCAAAATTCCTGTCTACCATGCAAAAACTAACATTTCCTGACCTGTGGCTCTTCTGAAAATTTTGTTTGTGTGAAAAGTATAAGAATAACATTACTTGAGACTTTTATTTTTGTAACATACTTCGAATTATGATCTGGATTAATAAACAATACTTGGCATAACATTATTTATTTCCCTTAATGCCTCTTTCAGTTTTGTTTTTGTTTTTGTTCTTTAAACATATTCCTAGATGTCTCCATTCCTAGAACAGGTGACCCCACAAAAATGCTTGTTGTATGATAGGGAAGGGATTCCTCCTACTTCATGTAAAATTCATGCTGTTGTTTGAAATGAGAGAATCTCTCTTAAGCAGCACTTATACCTTCTGATCCACTTTCATGATGTAGTAGCCATATTTACCTTTTTGTAGTAGAAGAAATGGTTTTATCTATTTACACATTCGAACATATAATTGAATGCCTTCTCTGAACTGACACTGTGATAGGTGCTATCTTTGACCAAAATAAACATAATCTCTGCCTTTATCTAACTTATATTTCAGAGCAAGGGCTAAACAATAGATAAATACCAGAATCTCCAATTATCTTAGAGATGCTAGGAAGGAAAACAACATGATTATGTGAGAGTAACTGGCGGGTTGATTAGGTGTGGGGTTCTAATTTAGACAAGTCTTCTCCATGGAGGTGGGACTTTTGAACTGAGACTGAAGCCGGAGAATGAGGCAGTCATTCTGAGGGGAAACAGACTATAGCATGTGCAAAAGAGCTTGACGTGGTCAAAGATGAGACCATGGCCCACACATCGGGATTGTAGTAAACAGAGGAGGTTGGGGAAATGAGGAGGGGCCAGCTTTTAGCTAAAGATGCCAGAATTTGATTCATTTTCAGGAAGGTCATGGTGTCTGCATGTGGATGCGAGTGGGGATGGTGCTTACGGTGGGTTGGAGGGAGATCTTTGGAAGCCGTGAGAGAGGCATTAATGATATGGGTCAAGGAGGTGGTGGTGGAGATGGAGAGAAGGATGTGTTTGGAAGTGGAACAAACAGGACTTGCCGGTGTGGAGGGAGAAGGGGAGAGGAATTTAGGAAAACTAGGTTTTGGCATGAGGGTATGAGTGGGTGGCAGTGCCTTTTAGTGAGATGGGGAGACATATTAGCAAAACAGATCCTGAAAGGGCAGATTAAACCATGAAGTACTGCTTTCACACCACTAGAATGAAAAACAAAGAGTAAAGGATGACAAAACCAAGGCTGGGGATGATAGAGGGCAACTGGAAGTATGACCATTTTGGAAGACTGGCATTAATTGCCAAAATAGAATATTCACAAATCCCATGAACTCTTCATTCTCCTTCTCCCCGCAAGTCCCTTCATTGTGAGACCTCTAATGCGTGGTCTAGTGCACGGGAGCACAAGTGGCCTGTCACCCCTCCCCTGCTTCCCAGAACAACACCAGGAAGGAGTGTGACCCTGGCCTGTTGCACTCGTGTGGGGTGCAGAACAGGTCCAGTCCTTGACCGCCTTGGCCCCGCTTCAGAGCTTTTCTTCCCTGGGGGCTGGCTTTTGCAGGCTACCCCTTCTGGGCCCAGTGATGGAGGATATGCTGAGTGCCTGTGGGGCAAAGCCGCTACTAAAGCACTGCTGTCGGGCTCCCACCTACCCAACCCTGACTCAGGACACCCTCTTGTTACCGTTACCAGTATCATTTGTTGACTATTGAGAGTTCAAGGTCAACACAGATTCCAAGCTTTCTGATGAGAGAAATGTTCCCATTCCCAACATGCTGCTGTCAATATATGCTGCAGATAATGGTGTATTTAAAGATGCTTTGTAGGAAACTAACTTTGCTCCTTCTCATTTTATGACTTTGCAAGTAGTATTAAAAAATGACAAAAAAGTTAAAAATATGAAAAAGGATAGAGGAACCTTGAGCAATGAAATCAAAGGGTAGTCAACACTATCAAAGGACATTTGTGTGTGTTTATATTTTTATATATTTACATTCTTCTACATGCCTTAAAAAAATCTTCTATTACTTTCTTCTACATACCTTAAAAAAATCCTTTTATAAAAGGAGACTATTTTATGTAGCTGAATGTAGAATATAATAATAATGTTATTTTTATGTTAAGATCATATTGTAACCTACATACATGACTCATTAACTCAAAGTAAAAATTAAAAGGGCAAATAAAAAAATTACAAATAGTTTTTTTAAAATTAAACTTTATAAATTTTGAGATAATTGTTGATTCACATGCAGTTGTAAGAATTAATACACAGAGGTCGGGTATGCTCTTCACCCAGTTTCTCCCAAGGGTAACATATTATAACAGTATATTACAACATTATAGCCAGGATATATTGACAAAGTCAAGACAGTGCATTCCTCTCCGTAATGTTGTCCTTTTATGGCCGCATCCAGTTCCATCTCACCCTCACTCCCTCCTTAACCCCCGGCAATTGCTAATCTGTTCTCCATTTCTATAATTTTGTGATTTCAAGAATCTTGTATAAATGAAATCATATAGTGTGCTACCTTTTGGAATTGGCCTTTTTTTCCATTCCGCATAATGCTTTTAAGATCCATCTACATTGTTGCATGTGTCAATAGTTCCTTTTTTTATATTGCTGAGTAATATTTCATGGTGTGCGTGTGCAGCTTGCTTAACCGTTCGTTGGAAGACATCTGGATTATTTTGTTTATTTGTTGGAGGACATCCGGATTATTTTGTTTATGGTTATTACAAGCAAAGCTGTTATGAACATTAACGTACAGGTTTTTGTGTGAAAAGGTCTTCATTTCTTTGGGATTAATGCCTGGGCATAATACAACTGCTGGATTGTAGTATAGTTGTATGATTAGTTTTTCTCCCAAATAACCTATTTATTTTACATAGGAAATTTGATTTGGACAATAAATATTAAATATTGTTGTGGAAAAATATCCCCAAAGCTCCAAAACCCAGTCCAACGGAAAACCAAGCAGTAACTCAGAGAGAAGGCGAATTCAAATTTATTACGTGCAGTCCTAGACGAGCTAGTGCTCTGAAAAGCTGGGCAATGGGCTCAGTTGAAATATTGCTTATATACCAGAATATTTTACTCAAGCTAATTGTTCAGTTTGAACTCAAACCTTTACAAATGACTGGGGTTGCAATGGAGACTACAAATAGCAACATTGGAAAGGCGGAGAGTTGTCAGGGTTGCTGACAGATACAAATTGTTACAGAAAACGGGAGCTGCTAGGGTACAAACAGTTACATTTATGGAGCAAAGGCACAAACAGTTACATTTGCAAGTTGAGCAAAGTGCAAGGGAGCTTTTGCAGGAGGCTTTGCATGCAGTAAGCTTATTTGCAGAAAGCAAGCATATTTACAGAAGCAGAAAGCCGATTAGTTTTTAATGAAATTCCCCAAATGTCCTCTTCAATATCATACATTAATAAAATATTCCATTTATCCGTTTATTAAGTTATGAAGATTTAAATATGTTAAATAGACTTTCTCAAACCTAACTGGCAAAAGGTGGATAATAAATATAGATATAATTTTCAAATTCATTTTCGTTAAAAACAATTAGTAAATGAAAAGTAAAGAAGCATATATCTCTACTTATATACAATCATACCAAAAAGGAATGATCCAAAGACTAGTCCTATGATAGCTATCTCTCCTTTGGTATCAGTGTCATATGTCCTCTATTTATGAAATAAACCCACAAGAGAGTAAGACTCAGAAACAACATATTCAGAGAGAGAGAAAAATGTTATTTAGAGCATTAACAAAGGAAACTAAGTCCTGCTTATTCAGTCTTTTATTAGGAAAAGCTTGCAAGCCTTAAACATTTGTACTAGTTTCTTTGAGAAAATCCACAGCCTGTTCTAATCTCAGCCTATTTGTAGTTGAGGGTTATAGGCAATAAACTAGGAGAGCGCGGGGTTCAGTATAACTTTTGGTTTATAATTTAGTACAATTTTGTCATCAGTACTAAAATAAACACTCAAAATGTGTCTCTTGTTGAGTCACAATGGGTCAAAACATGACAAATACAAAAGTAGTACATTATTATCATTTTTAAGTTTTCAAGGAAAATTTGAATACTAAATAAGTTGTCATACTATTATATATTTCAAAAATGACAGTCATGAAATCAGTAGTTGGATGAATTCCCATAGAGTATTTTTCCTTTTAAGAGAATTAAAACCCACATAGATAAATATTTTATTTGAAAGTTAAATATTAATGCCCTTTCTTCATACACTTTCAGGATTGGGCTATATACATTTCCTCTAGCATTTTCTGTTCTATCGCTATTACTGGTTTACTTTTACCTCTTGTTTACCTACTTGATAAAGCTCAGAGTCATCTGGTTATTGGTGAGTCCATTCCCAAGAACTAGGTCCAGCCTCGAGATCTGGAACACAAATAGAAAGACGTCAGGGATGTGCTTTAGGAAGTGGCACTGTCATCTCATGGTAAGGAAGCTGTAGCATTGGATTATATGCATGCCCCTGCATTTTATGAAAGAAAAAGTAAGTATTTTGAGGTAAAGCAGCAATATTAATTGGAAAAAACTGCGTGGGAAAGGCAAATCTGAGCATAACTTCTTCATTCCTGTAGCTGGTAAGTTTGTCTTAACACAGCGCCGAAGACTTTGGTTAGTTGATTCAGAAAACAGAATTCTCAAATAGATACTACACATTAATTGTTCTTCCATATAAACAAATTCCATTTTGCAGAGCTATGGCATATGGGTCTGATTCTTGGTGTTCAAAGCAGACAAATGTAAGACTTCTGCTTTTCTTCTGTCTTTGCATATAGTCACTTTGGTTAATGGCATAGTCCATAAGAAAGTGAAGTAATGGTTCATAAAGAAATTCTTCCTGCACTGGGGCCTATAAATTTTCCACAGTGTCCTGTCGTCCTCTTCTAGAACTGGAAACAAGCGGTGCAGGAGGCACTGGATCCTGCCCTACCTCCCTGCCGTGGAGGAACTGGGAATAAGGGGATGCAGGAAGTACTGGATCCTGCCCCATCCCTCTGTTGTACCGCTCTACCCAGGAGGAGATGGGACCATGATTAGTTTTTTCAGAAACTGCCAAACTTGTTTTCCAGAGTGGCTATACCATTTCGCATTCCCAGTAGCAATGAATGAGTAATTCAGTTTCTCGGTAAGTGTGTGTGTGTGTTTAAAAAATGGAATGATGCATGAAATAAGGAGTGAGAGCTATTGATCAGAGGGAAAATCTATGGTATAATTGGAGGGAAAGCCATCAAGATTAGCTCGTAAAAAGGGACTGTAAATTAATAATTTCAGGATAAACCATTCAAGGAAGGTTGACATAGAAGAGAGGAAACATGAAAGACTTTGTGGAAAGAGACAGAACAATGAGAAAATAAAGAATGTGGATTAGGTGATGTTCTTTTAACAAATTAATAGCCAAGAACAACAGGAGGGCATAGGACCAGAGAGAATTAAAGACGTGGGTTAAAGCTGCACTGGATATTGCCCTCGGTCAATAGGGCCTCGGTCTTGTGGGCATGAGGCAATAATAATCACAGCAAAAACTTTTCAGCATATATTATCACCATTTTGCAGATGAGGGAAACTACGGCATTAAGGGGACTTACTTATAGTCACCCAGCAAGGAAGCGGTTCAAACCTAAGCATGCTGGCTTCAGGGTCCATGTTCTTAACCATTACCTGATGCCATCATGACTCTCATAACTATAGTGAGAAAAAACTCATGCCACATAAGTTAAGAGTAATTAGATGAAGGACCATACAGAATTTAGTCATCTTCACCTGGAGGAAAGTTCTAGGATGGATTAGTCACAGTAGAAGAATAATGTGCTAAAAAGAAAGAATATGACATGAATGAAAGAGTTAACTTAGGCCTCTATGGCTAGAAAATGCCAGCCTCTATTGTTTTGTTACATCCGGCCATTTGGAAATTGTTCAGTAGAAATTATGTAATTCTACTTGATCTGGGTTTCCTGGCCTCTATGACTTCTTGAAAGAAACTCCCAGATATCAGAGTCGCTCAGCAGCTGGCCATCTCCTGCTCACCCGGAAAGTAAACCAAAACAGGAAGTCGGGGTGATTGGAGGAGCCACAGGCCTTGGAAAGAAGAAAGCAGATGGGATCCAGGGGAGCGGAGGGCTTCACCTAGGCAGACCTGCACGTAGTTATCTATTTTTGGCCTCGAACATGTTTTTTTACATCCTTGCTCATTGAAAATGGACAGGTGAATTATTGGTGAATTATTGTAATCCTTTTGTGAATGAAAAAGGGGGATGTTCTCACCATAAAAATTCCTAACTGAGTGAATTATAATGAGAAGTCACATCCTAAGGCCTATATGATAGATTCATCTTTACCTCAAACAAGCCCTGCCCATTGTTTCTGAGCATCTAGGATAACATACTTAAAATGTCAGAATGATCTCTTCTCCAGACCTTCAGAAGTAAACATCTGGTACTGGGGTGAGACGACCCCAACATTTCTCATTTTATCCTTTACCCGCACACCTCTGTAAACTATGTGTGTTGAAGGTTAGCTAATCCTGCCCCCACCAATGTAAAAGAAGTATATACCTCTCCAGTTTTACTTTTTATCCAACCCTAGAGATTTCTCCACTTCGCTTTCTCCTGTCTCCTTAATCTACCACCAATGGCGTTTACGTAACCTTCCTTTCATCTAGCCCTTTGATTTTAATATGTAAAACAACTACCAAACTGCTACTCCTAGGAGCAGTTTCTCAGTCCTTTGAGATTTTGCTTCCGGGTCTGGCCCTCAGCTTCAACTGAAATAAACCCTTTTAATCTTTCTTAAGGTTTGTACTTTCTTATGTTAACACCCTCATATCACTTAACAAAACAACAAATATACCACAGCTTGACGTTTTTCTATTTTTGATCTATTTTTTCATTTTTATCCCTTCTGTAGTACCTGAGATTTCAGCTTTATTTTCGTATCATACCTTTTCAAATGCATACTTCTATAATTGTCTACATTAAAAAAAAAAAAATGACTTTGATCCAGCTGCTTTGGAGTTATTTCAACTGTCCCGAAAGTAAGGCAGTCATTCTTACTTTACCAAAGCTTCACATCCACTGTCTTAGTCCATTTGGGCTGCCATAATGGAATACCATAGGCTAGGTGTCTTATAAACAACGGAAATTTATTTCTCACAGTTCTGGAGCCTGGGAAGTCCAAGATCAAGGTGCCAGCAGATTCAGTGTCTGGTGAGGACCCGCTTCCTGGTTCATAGTCATCTTCTCATTGTGTCCTCACACGATGGAAGGGAATAGATCTCCTTGGGGTCTATTATAAGGACAAGAATCCAATTCTTGAAGGCTCCGCCCTCATGACCTAATCAGCCCCACAAAGCCTTATCTCCTAATACCATTACACCAGGGACTAGGTTTCAACATGTAAGTTGGGGAAGAAACACAAACATCCAGTCTATAGCACTAACCAAGAGAATTTTTAAAAGTTCCTGTTGGTGAATGCAACGAACTTTTCGCAGAGTTGGATCAGAAGTAAAGTTAACATTCTGCAAGGGAAATCATCAGCAAGAGACCTTGTTACTGTCTTACTTTTGAAGATGTGGGGCCCTCAGTATGGAAGCATGTTACCAGTTCAAAGGGGCTTTTCCAGCTTAGCTTCCCATAGTCCTAAACTTCTGAGGGCAAAATATAGAAGGGTAGTTTGAAACACATAAAATTGCCGTTGCTGTCAGTCAAAAATAGTTGGCTTTTGGCAACTTCCTGTGACGCAACCCTTTACATCATGTAGGGCATTCAGGAAACACCAGGACGTACACATCATTACTCTCAGATTTTCTCTTGGTTTTAGGTTTGCTAGTTGTGCAAGTTCAGAACTGGAGGAGCACCTCACCTGGGTGGGAACTGGCACCAAAATATGGTTAACGTTCAGGCTGGTTCTGCTCAAGCAAAGATTTTCTTCCCAGAGGCTGATTTACACAGTCTTGCTGAAGACATATGAAGACCTCTAACAGGGACAGGGACAGAAACATTGTTTTTTTGCCACTGTGTACTTTTTTGGATACAATATGACCTTTTTTTCTTTTTTTTAGTATACAGTATCAAGAGAATAGTTTTAAAAGAACTGGTTATTCTGTTTTTCTTGCTTCTTATTTTGATGGGTCATCCTTGCCGCCTATAGGGAAACACTGTCAATAATTATATAAAATATTTCCAACTCTTCACTTCTCAGCTCACTTATTGTCATTTCATTTCTGGGGGAGAGGCCAGACCAAGAATTCCTTCAGATCGTGGCTGAGCCCGACGCTGCTCCTCACCATCTTGAGTTCCTTGATCTTTGTTGTGTCTTCACCTCACGGTTGATGTGCATCTGCCATGTTCTGCTTGGCGTGATCCAGGGGTTGGCGCCCAGGTACTCTGTCTCCCTCAGCAGTTCTCTAGCACAGTAACCCAAATAGACCAGAGTTAACTAATTGAACAATAGTAGTTCTGTGGTCTTAACAATCAAATCATATGAAGCTGTTAAGATCATTACATTACCAAATTGTCATCCATTTTTGTTAATTATTGCCATCCCATCCTAAGCTTACAAAGAACTTTCATGTGTCTTTGACTCTCAGAATAATCTTGTGAAGGAGATAGAGCAGGTATGTTGTATTATGAGTTTTCACATGAGAATTAATTTAGTTAGTATTTTCTTTCTATTAATAAAAAGGTGCAAGTGTACTGTATTTGAATTTTCTTTTCTTTTTGAAATTTGACATCAAATCTTATCAATAGTACATGTTGTGCAATCCTCATAATACTTTCTGATTGTATTCATTGAATTACAATTGTTTTCCCACAAAAGTGGTCAGGCATAATATTCATAAGATTATAAACTAAGAGCCTAGTAGCTGGCAGTCATGTGTTATATAACTATCCCGCCCTTCATAAATGCTACATGAATGTTATTTGCACTTTCAAAAAGCTCTAGACCTTGGCCATGACCACTTCCTCATTTCAAACCTCTGTGGCAGTTTTTGCCCTGATTACCTTGCATGTCAGTGCCCTGGATACATTTATCGCTGCAGTATATGAACATGCTGTCATATTGCCAAATGAAACAGAAACACCTGTTTCTCAAGAAGATGCCTTGCTCCTTATGAACAAGAATATAGACATTCTGGAGAAAATAATTAAGCAGGCAGCTGAGAAGGTAATATTTTATTTCCACTAATTGTAATTTATGAGAGGGACATGAGATCTGGTGGAAGATTGGAGTATTGGAGTATCTATATAACCCATGAAGAAATAATGGTGATTTGACTTGTTTTGAACAGGGTGCTCAAATCATTGTGACTCCAGAAGATGCACTTTATGGGTGGAAATTTACCAGAGAAACTATTTTCCCTTATCTGGAGGATATCCCAGACCCTCAGGTGGCCTGGATTCCATGTGAAGATCCCCACAGGTATTTAAATTATCTCAGTCGTTCATGCAAAAGTGCTATAATCCTCTAAAATGTGCATGTGCAACACAGCAAAGTAATAAATCCGGAATTATCCTATGTGTGGTATTTGTTATTATTGTATTAATCTTGTCATTTATTAGATTTAAAAATTACACTTAGATACCATTGGACAATCATTTATGATTTAATATCTTTATTATATTTGGAGAAAATATGTAAACAAGGTATTTATTACTAGGCTTAGAAACTAAGGGGAAGAGGACCGTGGATATAAGTAGCAAATTAATGTCTGAAGTAGACAGTGGGTTATGTTTGGAAAATATTTCAAAGTCTCTATCAAAAGTACCATATATTAATTTCATGGAGTCTTTGTTCCAGAATCTGCTTCTCAGGCAGAAAGACCTTGCTATGTACTTTCCAGGGAATCATAAGACATTAGGCTTTGAAATTGCATTTTCCTAGGCTCATAAGATAGTTTTCCAGGGAAAAAGTAATCTAGAAACATTTTAATATGGAATATTTAATGGATATAAGTGTATATTTAACATATAAATCCTACACCTAATAAAATCTGATTAAATTATTGAGGCACAGATTGCATACTTCAAAACTTTCAGTAAAATGTCTCTCACTCTGTCACACTCATCCTTTCTCACCTCTCAAATCCTCTCACTGTCTTACCCTCACACTTTCTCTCACTCTTTTACCTCAAATTAAGTTTATTAAACATTCCTCACCCATATTTTTGCTGGAGGATTATGGTACCATACTTTTTAAGGCACTCCCAGTTATTCTGACATTTATAAAAGGGCTATCAGGAAATGGCTTCTCTGAGCTTTGGAGAGATTACACAAGGAGACTATTGTGTTAATGAAACTGGACAGTTCCATGGTCCTATCTTTCTTGTTCTGAGCTGATGCTCTCCACGGTGTTTGTAAGAAATTTTCTTTTGTGGAAAAAAGAGACCAAATAAGTTTTGAGAATTGGGACAATCCACTTGTTTTTTATTTCACAGTGGGACTGAGTTCTGGTTTTCCTGTTAAAAATAACATATGTTGCAAATTTGTAGATGAGTCAAAGATCACAGTAGCTATGGAAACTGGTGAAGGTCGAGGAACAGATTCTTCCATATGGTTAGTAAATGCCTCTTTTATAGCCTTACAGTAGAAGGAAAATTTTTGATAGAAAAAGGGCTTGCATCATCACCCAATATAGTCAAATTTAACTCATTTATCTTTTCATTCATTCAACCATTATTTGTTGAACACCTACTATGTGCCAGATACTCTTCTAAGAGTAAGGGATACAGCACTTAATAAAACAAAATCTATACCCTCCTTGTGGCTTATGAATATTTAGTGGGGGAAGATAGACATAAACAAATTCATTTATCACATAGAATGTTGTATTGTGATAAGAATCAGAGAAATGGGGTACTTGGGTGAGATGAGGTATAAGACTTATTGTGGTTATTTTTTAAATTTAGATTGATTATGGAGTTTTCACTGAGTATGGCTTCAGTGTATTAGCAAGGGAAAGAAGTAGCATAATGAGATCAGAAAGGATCCATGTTGTGTGGGTGCTATAGATCATGTAGGGTCTTGAAGTCTATTTTAAGAACTTTGGTTTTTCCTCTGAGCAAGATAGGGAGTCACTAGAGGGTTTTCATTTGAGGAGTGACCCAATCTGACTCAAGTTTTAAAAGCACCACTCTGGCTTCTGTATTAGAAAAAGACTAGGAAGGCAAGGGAAAAGCAGAAAGACCACTTAGGAAGCTATTGTAATTATCTTGGTTAGAGCTGATGGAGACTGGAACTAAGAAGTAGAAGAGGTAACAAGTGTTTAGGATGTCAAGGTGACAGGATTTGTTGTCAGATTGTTTGTAGGGGTATGAGAGAAAGACGAGCATCAAAAGTGACTCCCAAGTTTTTGGCCTGAGCAACTAGAGACATGTAATTGCTGTTTACAGATATAAGGGGCACTTAAGGAATAGTATGTCTGGGATGGAAATAGAAAGTCAGTTTTGTGCACCTTAAGTTTGAGTCGCACTTAAGATATCTAAGTGGAGATGTCAATCTGGCAGTTAGTTGCATATACAAGTCTGGCGTGGAAGGACAAGGTCAGGGCTGGAGATAGAAAATCAGGAGTCAGAACAAAGATGATCTTAATACCATGATGAGTTCACCTATGGAGTGAGTTAAAGAAAAGAAAGGGTCTAAGGCTTGTGATCTAGGAAAGTCCAGTGTTTAGATTCAGGAGAGATGAGGAGGAAGCAGCAAGGGAGAATGAGAAGGTGAACCAGTGAGTAGAAGGAGAGTGGGGTCCAATAAGCAAAATGAAATGTTTCCAGGAGGAGGACGTAGTTAGCCTTGTCCACTGCTGCAGAAAAGTAGGATGAGATGAAGTACGATGCGGACATCATTGGCATTTGTGAGAGTTGCCAGGTGGGATGATAGACATGAAAGCTGATTTGAGAGCTTCAAAGAGAGAACCAGCCAGGAACAATGAAATGAACAGTTCTTTCTAGGAGTTATACTGTAAGAGGGAGCTGAGACATGGAGCAATATTTAGAGGGGCATATGGGTTCAAGAGAGGTTTTATTATTATTATTATTTTTTTGAAGATTAGAGATACTAGAGCATAATTTGCATGCCAATGGAATGATCCAGTAGAGAGGAGACAGGTAATGGTGCAGGACTGTGAATAATGAATTGCTGAAGCAATAGATACGGTGTGGAAAAAAAATTCATCAACTTTAAGTATAATTTGCGGCTTTTAAAATATTATCTATTTCATGAATAGTTTTTATATTGACTTCAGTTACACTTAGGCTCTTGTTATTTTTTATGTATGAAGTGACTAAAATACTTTTTAAAGCTGAAATGTCTTTTTTATTAAGATACAATTGACATATAACACTGTAAGTTTAAAGTGTACAATGTATTAATATGATACACATATGTTGCAATATGATTATCACCATAGCATTAGTTAATCTGTTAATATGTCATGTAACTATCATTTCTTCTTTTGTGATGAGAACAATCAAGTTCTAGTCTCTAAGCAACTTTGAAGTTTATTTTAATATAGTATTATTGATTATAATCCCTATGATGTTCATTATATCTCCAGGACTTATTTATCTACTAGTTGCAAGTTTGTACCCTTAAACAACACCTCTCTTATTCCCACAACCCTCAAACTCTGGTAATCACCATTCTACTTTGTTTTTATGAGTTAGCTTTTTTAGATTCCACATATAAGTGATATTATACAGTATTTGTCTTTCTCTGTTTGACTTACTGAAATGTCTTAATTAAAAATTGATTTAGATTTGGTCGCACACCAGTACAAGCAAGACTCAGCTGTCTAGCCAAGAACAACTCTATCTATGTCTTAGCAAATATTGGGGACAAAAAGCCATGTCATTCCCATGGCTCCAGATGTCCTTCTAATGGCTATTATCAGTACAATACCAACGTGGTGTATGATACAGAGGGAAAACTGGTGGCACGTTACCATAAGGTAAGAGGGGTGGGCATGTAAAATGGTGCCTTCTCTGAGAGTGATGAATGCTGTGTTTAGGAGTTTGAGCTTCATTCCTATATTATACAATGTTACTAGAAATTTTTTTTAAGTGAGCAATAACAAAGATGACATTTTAGAAAAAATAACTAATCTGGAAAAAATATATAGGCTTAGATCTATTAGAAAGATGTAATAATCCAGGATTGAGATATTTTTTGTGTATATATAAAACAAATAATTTTTTCTCCAGTTTTATTGAAGTATAATAGACAATTAGTTACTAATATTTACATTGTACAAATCAATAACTCACAAAGTGATCACTCCACTAAATCTAATACCCCTCTTCCTCCTTACAAATTTTCTACAACATTGTTGACTATTTTTCTTATGCGACACTTTGTATCTCCATGAGTATTTTGTATTTATCCATTAGTATTTCTTAATCCCTGTGTCCTTTTTCAGTTTCCTCAATCGCCCTCTTGTCTAGTAGCTCTCAAAATATTCTCTGTATCTATGAGGTTGTTTTCATTTTTGTTGTTATTGCTATTTATTTTGTTTTTAGATCCCACATGTATGTAAAATCATGTGGTATTTGTCTTTCTCTATCTGACTTATTTCATTCAGCATAATACTCTCTAGGTTCCTCAAGGCAATATCTTTTTCCATCCCCTTCCTTTTAGTCTGTGTGTGTCTTTCAATCTGAAGCAAATCTCTTGTAGGCAGTATATGTAGGAGTCTTGTTTTCTTATCCATTTAACTTCCCTATCTTTTGTTTGAAGCACTTAATTCTTTTTCATTTGAAGTATTTCTTGATAGATATGTGGTTATTACCGTTCTTTATTCATGTTTTTGATACATGTTTTTCTTCTTAAAGAAGTCCCTCCAACAATTTCTGTAATACGAGTTTGGTGTTGATGAATTCCTTAGTTCATTTTTTGTCTGAGAAGCTCTTTATCTGTTCTGTGACTCTAAATGATGACTTTGCTGGATAAAGTATCTTGGTTGTAGATCCTGGGTTTTCATCACTTTGAATATTTTATGCCAAACCTTTCTGTCCTGCAAAGTTTCTTTTGAGAAATCAGCTTCCAGTCTTATGGATATTCCCTTGTAGGTAACTAAATGCTTTTCTCTTGCTGCTTTTACGATTTCCTCTTTGAATTTAATCTTTGACATTTTAATTATGATGTGTCTTGGTATGGGCATCTTTGAGTTCATTTTTGGGGGGACTCTCTGTACTTTCTGGGGTTGTATGTCTATTTCCTTCACTAGGTTAGGGAAGTTTTCCATCATTATTTCCTCAAATATATATTCAACTTCTTGTTCTCCCTCTTCAGGTACCCCTATGACATGGATGTTGTTACCTTTAATTTTGTTCCATAGGCTCTTTAAATTATTATTATATTCTTGGTTACTTTTTTTCTTGTCATTCTGATTGGGTGTCCTTGGCTTCCTTGGTGGTTCGATACTCTTCTTCCTCCACTCTGCTGATTCTCTCTAATATACTCTCAGATAATGTACTCTTCATTTCTGACTGGTTCCATTTTATAATATCCATTTCCATTATAATTTTTTTAAATCTCTTTTTTAAAGTTCTCACTGAGTTCATCTACACTTCCCTTAATTTCATTGAGCATCTTTACAACCAGTGTTTCAAACTCTGCATCTGTTAGATTGCTTGACTCCATTATTCCTGGATCTCTGTTCTGTTCTTTCATATGGTTTCTGCTTCTTTGTCTTCCCATTTTGGCTGCCTTTCCATGTCTGTTTCTATGTACTAATCAAAGCTCCTAAGTCTCCTGGTCTTAATAGCGTTGCTTTATGCAGTAGTTGTCCAGAAACACAGTCCTGAGAAGGGTTCAGCTGCAAGCCAATTTTAGCCCCAGCCTGTGCCCCTCCAGGGCCACCTGTTAAGATTCAGCAAGTAGTCCACAGATGCTGTGTTTATAGTTGCATGAAGAAGTCACACCAGAAACCAAGGTCAACTACCACCAGTGTGAGTCTTGGCGCTGCTCACAAGTGGCACAGACTCGCTAAGGACACAACTAGATGTGGCTTGGTTAGGGCCACAAGTTGAGGGAGGTGAAGTTTTGGGGAATTCTTTGGGCAGAGTGACCTCTGTTATCTAGTTCGATGATGTCTCAGCTACATCGGTGCTGTGTCCACATACTGGGAGGCGGGCGGGCTCAACAGAGGAACCATGGATACCACCAGCACTTCTGCCTGGGAGAAAGCCTCCCCTCTAGCCCTCTCTCTGACAACTCAGTGTTCCCCTGTAAGTCCCTTGTGCCCCATGAGCAGCCCACCTGACACTAGTCCTCAGAGGGAACAGATCCCTCACTGGGAATGTCTGGTTGTGGACATGGCCCCTTTAAGAGGCATCAGCAGCTGCTAGCTATCACTGCCACAGCCTCTGTCCCATTCAGCTGCTCAGGACTAGGCAGCCTCTTGTCTTCACACCTTCCTATCTCCAGCTGTTACAGGGTGATTTCTTATTTCTCTCTCTCGTTGTAGGGTTTCTGTTCCTCTAGACCCCAGGTGACTCTACTTCCTGCTTGCTCTGTATTTCCATCACAACTTTAATTTGGTTGCAAGAGGGGATGAATGAAGCTTCTATCATTTATGCTGTTTTGCCCAGTCTCTCTAAAACAAATAATTTTAATATTGGTACAGAAGATACTAAGGTGACTATAATCCAGATACCATTTAATATTGAAATGATACAAAGATGTTTCCAAATTGAATAAATCGGTTTCACAGAAGTTAATTTCCTCGTTTTTTATCAAATCATAAAAATAATTTTTCTCTAATTTTTATACCAATTAGTTTAATTACTTTCTTATGGATTTAAGGTCAAATCATAAAATTTTTACTTTAAATTTTGAATTAAAAGAGTGAAAAAATCTTAAGCCATAATTTTATACCAAATTGGGCAGGGAGAGAGCCTGGCCTTTTAAATGGATATGTGATGTGCATGGCAGTGCCAATGTCCCTCTTCTTCCCCCACATATTTTTTAGCATCTTAAATTATAGCCTCAGAGTCTTTCGAATGGAGAAATTGTCTGCTGGAAGTCTCAGTTAAAATACAAATATTGGTCATGAGGAATGATATTAACTAAATGGTTTTCCTATATTTTTCATCATATACCCCTATTATAAAAAATTTAACTTGAGTCCTCAATAAATGTGTATTGTTTTGTATTCATAAACAAGACATATAACTATCAAAAAGTTTTCTTCATAACTGTAGGTTTTCACAACTTCTTTTCATATGTAATTAAACTATTTTGTTTTCCTTAAATATGTGTCTCATAGAAATGCCAGCTCTTCTATTTTTTGTTTTCTAGACTTTGCATTATTAGTGTTAGTATCATTTTTTAATGCACTCTCTTTGCAAGAATTATCTTCCATTGTTCTTCCATTCTGTAAGTGTTGGTTTAGTTAAACTGACAGCATATCTGGTCAAGCCATTTAAGCAGGATGAGGTAAACCGCAGGATGGTGCAGTGCACTGAATGTGGACAAGTTAGTGAGGGACCTGTGATTATTCTAAATTGAGCAGTTCTCACTCTCCTCTCAGAGTACTTCAAACACCATTCATGACCCATGAGCTCTAACACAGGGACCTAATAAGAGTAGGTCAATCAATTCTTCAAGTACTAGTAAGGTTCAATTTATTTTTTATTTTTTAAATAGGATATAAATGTAAAGATTAATTTTAATAGTCTTGTTCCCCATCTTGTCATTCCTTCTTTTTCAGACCATTTTATTAAACTGTCGACTTTGATTATCATATTACACTAGGTTAGTTTTCCAAGTTGACTTGGATGGAATCAGAGAGAATTAAATAAAATTTTCATCTTCAACAGCAATTTTGAAATCTACTTAAGTCTCTAAAATAACTTTGGATGTGACACTGTAAAGATGGATCAGGCATCCTTCATCCACGTAACATATTTCTTGTGCATTTATTATGTTTCTAGGTATTAGGGATTCAAAGGAGAAAAATACGTATTCTTTGAATCCTTGATACCTGGAAATGTGAAAAAAACTTCTTCATCTTTCAAGAAGTTCATAATCTTTCGGAATTTATGAGAAGATGTTTGGATCCTAATTGAGAAGTAGGGATTAGAGGAGTAGGAGAGGGAGAGAGAGAGAGAGAGAGAGAGAGAGAGAGAGAGAGAGAGAGAGAGAGAGAGAGAAGAGAAGATATGTATTCCTCCATGTTTTCCTTGGAATTTTACTTCCAATCACCAAATTCATTCACTTCCTGTACATTTGCTGCTGTTGACCCTAGCCGAATCTATTACTAACTGGAGGGTTTTACAAGTCATTTCTTTAATAAACAAGCCTTTCCTGGTTTTATCTTATGCATTTGTTATAGTACCACCTCTACTCTGAGCGACAGTTTGATGTCCCTGAAAAGCCGGAGTTGGTGACTTTCAACACCACCTTCGGAAAGTTTGGCATATTTACATGTTTTGATATACTCTTCCATGATCCTGCTGTGACCCTGGTGAAAGATTTCTATGTGGACACCATACTGTTTCCCACGGCTTGGATGAATGTTTTGCCCCTTTTGACAGCTATTGAATTCCATTCAGCTTGGGCAATGGGAATGAGAGTTAATCTTCTTGTGGCCAATACACATCATGTCCACCTGAATATGACAGGTAATTCATTGTACTTCTAAATGCAGAGAAATTAATGCCTCAGATATTACCTGTCATAAATTTTTTGCTTCTCTGTTGGGAATAATCACTATTTGTCATCCTTTCACAAGAAAAGAAAGGCTAGTGACTGATTTTAGCAACTACGGTTGTGTTAAGACCTTTATGTATATTATTTCATTGATCCTCACAACTTAGTGAGCTGAGTATTAATTAGCATCCCACTTTTACAGATTATAAAACTGAGACACAGAGAATGTAAGTAACTTACCAAAGTCTACCAGCTAGTAAATGACAAAACGTGGAACTAAACAAGATTTGCTTGAACATTGGCAGAGGGCAGAGGAATGTGTTATTGACACATTGCTTTGTAACAAATTACCCTAAAAGTAAAAAGTAAAAGTGGCTTAAAACAACAAACATTTATTATCTCACATTTTCTGTTGGCCAGGAATTTGAAATTGGTTTAGCTGGATGGTCCTGGCTCAGGCTATCTCTTCAGGTTATCACAAGCTGTTAGCTGGGATGGCAGTCATTTGGAATCGTGACTGGGGCTGGTAGGTCTGCTTCTAGAAGAACTGCCTCACATGGCTGTTGTCAGGAGATTCCTTGGTTCCTCAGTGGCTGTTGGTAGACCTCCATTTCTTGCCACTTGGGCCTCTCCTTAGAACTGTGTGATGTTTCCTCATGACATGGCAGCTGATTTCCTCCAGGGCAAGTGATGAGAGTGAGAGGAAAGAGGAGAGAGAGAAGAAAGAGGAGAGAGAGAAGAAAGAGGAGAGAGAGAAGAAAGAGAAAAGAGAGAGAAGAGCAGAGGGAGTGAAAGCAGCACTGTCCTTTATGACTAGTCACATACAGTCACTTCTACCATGTTTTATTCGTTAAAAGTGAGTCACAAAGTCCAGTCTGCACTTAAAGGGAAGTAGATATACCCTTGGAGAGAAGAGAGTGTTGAACAATTTGAAGGCAAATTTGAAAACCGCAACAATGGTGAAAGGAGAGCATTGTGCATTACCTTTCCTTACCTTTCAGGAACTCCCAAATACAAAGATTTTTATATTTGGTTTAACTATCCATAATGCTGATAGGTAACCCTATTATAATCAAAGTATTTCACCTGAGACCATTGAACGTTTATTTTAATTTCCTCCAATAGAGAATAGAAGTACTTAGGTGTTCAGTGTAACTAGACTCAAGTAGTGACATGACTGCACGCTCGATTCTGACGGGGAAAACGGCAGTGTTGGTTTTGTTTTTAAAAAGACCTGGTTTCCATTCACAGGCAGTGGTATTTATGCACCACATTCTCCCAAAGAATACCATTATGATATGGAAACAGAGTTGGGAAAGCTCCTCCTTTCAGAAGTGGATGCGCATCCTCGAAACTCTTCTCCCTACCCAATGGCTGTGAACTGGAGTGCTTACGCCACAAGCATCAAACCATTCCCAGTACAGAAAAACAGTTTCCAGGGTTTTATTTCCCGGGATGTGTTCAACTTCACAGAACTTTTTGAAAATGCAGGAAACCTTACAATCTGTCAAAAAGATCTCTGCTGTCACTTGAGCTATAGAATGTTAAGAAAAGAAGAGAGTGAAGTGTATGTGCTGGGAGCTTTTACAGGACTTCACGGCCGAAGAAGAAGAGAGTACTGGCAGGTAATCTCAGCTCAAGTGAAAGGTGGTGTTTAGGTGTCAGTGACTTCCAGGGTTAACTTTTCATGTTTGTCCCAGAGAGCCAAGTGCTTTTTCTTGTCAATATCACACATGCATGCTCACACACACACACACACACACACACACACACACACACACACACTGGGAGTAATCACATGATATTTGCAATAGGAGTTAAGTATAATCTCATTGTTTGCTTTGAGCATGTTTTAAAAACTTATTAACCTGACCATGATGATTTTCTATTTGACTGATGAACTATTTTATATATTATAGTGAACTTCAATAAGGCTTCCTTAAGTAGCTTTACTGATGTACCTGAATATAAGCAGTTTTGTTTTAACTTTTAAAACCAATGACAAATAAGGATATCACTTTTATTTTAGTTTTTCTTGTAATCACATGTCCTGGTCATTTTATTTCCTTCCAATGACAAAAATTTTAAATGCAAACTTTTACTACAGTGTTGACTATGCATTTATATTTTCTTATTATATTCTGAGTCTTACTACCTTCTTCTAAGGAAAAGGATATGGAGAAAGATAGTCAAAATTTTAATAACCATTTTAGCATTAGTACTACTGTTGCTGAAAGACCTCTACTCTCTAGAGCCAACTAATCATTTGACATATCGAACTAAAGGTTTAAGTCTAATTTTAAACTGACGTTTTCCTCTCAATTCATTTGTTACCCAGGAAGTGGGATTGGTTCTCAAATCATGTGCCATTTCCAATAAAGCATGTAATTATAAGAAACATGATCCAAATCCCTTTATCAAATGGAGAAGATATTTGCTGCGGTTATAAACTGAGTCAGCAGTTCTAGTACAAGTAACTTAGATGTAAGGCCTTGCATTTTATCTGCACCTGTTCCACACAGGTATGCACAATGCTGAAATGCAAAACGACTAATTTGACAACTTGCGGACGGCCAGCAGAAACTGCTTTGACAAGATTTGACATGTTCTCCCTAAGTGGCACATTTGGAACAGAATACGTTTTTCCTGAAGTGCTCCTTACTAAAATTCAGCTGTCACCTGGAAAATTTGAGGTAGGAAGATTTTAAGAGTATTTTCATATTCTGTGTTCTCTGAAGCCAAGTAAAATAGGCCATGGCCACTGTATCAGTTAACTTTCACTGTGTAGCAAACTTCCTCAAACCTTTATGGGTTTCGACAATAACCATTTCTTTAGCTCTTATTTTGCAGTTGACATCGTGAACTTGGTGTAGGTAGGCTGTTCTGGTTTGGAACAGGCTTAGTTGATCTTGGCTGGGCTCATTCATGGGAGAAAGACAAAAAAAACTGCTGGAGCTTTCCAGAACAGGTTAGTGGTCCAGAGCCAGAAATGCCATTTCACTATCACTCTGAACCACATCAGTATTTGAAGAAGTTGGATGGTGGTAGTTAATGAGAAATTGGAGAGCATGAAGAAATTAGGACATAGTTACCTCCTTTCTTTGTTTTACATTTTTTCCCCAAATGGTTTCAAGTAGTTGGGAACAGAGAATGATACAAAAGAGTAAATGGTTAAGTGCTTAACTATTTGATATTTGTAGGTCTCAACTCTTAACTTTCTCAGAACTTGTCATGCTGTCTGCCATGTCTGGGCACTGGCTCCTAATTCTTACATGGAAAGAAGGAGGAAAGGGAGGGGTTGCACCTGTCCTTTAAATTGGGCACTTGTGGTCTATTTATCATTTGGATCATGCCCCATTTACTCCAGCTTATTTGCTGAAAGAGGAAATAAGAAATAGATAGTGTTACCCCAAAAAGTTATAAAGGAAACATTTGCCTGCTGTAGGCAGCGTTTTTGGTATAACAGTTCCTTGGATGGGGCTCTACAGCCAGGGTGCTGGTCTTCATTTCACACGTATAGATTCTCTATGGCATGACCTTCTCTAAGTTCATCAGAGTCTAAGGAGCAGACACCAACCCAACTCACAAGATGGATAAAAGAGAGGACCAATTTATTATAACTTTTAAAAATAGATACACCTTAGCTGGAGAAAATGAATTATCATCTCAAGAAACTCTCCATTGGCAAGTCCTTTCAAGCATTGAAGCTATGGATCAGAAGATTGTTTTGTGAGCACAGAATTAAAACAAAAGGAGTTGGGTAATCATGGGACAGGTTTTCATGAAACTATGAAAGCTTGAGGCATGTGCTTCTTCTCTTTAGGACTAGTTATCTAAAACCATGGTGAATCTGGGTGCCTACTTTCCACAAAAACAGTGAAATAAACAGAAACTAAGTCTTAATTTTTTAAGTTATTCTTTCTCGAGAGACTTTGCAGTTCATGGTCCTTCTGTTAACATATTATTTTTAGAGAGACCAGTTACAATATCACAGATGACAAGTTTTTTTTTGCCTGAGTTATGTCTTCTGGGGTATTTCCCAGTGTCCTTGACTGACGCACTCTCTGTCAGCAAACATTTACATATTATCTTAGAAGATCACTTCTGCAGAGATTTCAACACACTTACTGTCTTTCCCCACCCCTAGTTTTATGGTAAAATTATGAAGTGTTACTGACCATCACCACAAATGTGAGAAATATCTTGCTGTAATGTTTTAGGCAACTCTGGTGTATCATCAGAAATCTGATCTCTGCAACTAACTAGTTTATGTAACCTTGCGCAAGTTGGTTAACCTCTGAATTTCCTAACTGTAAAAGGAAGAGAATACCTTCCTCACTGATTTGGTGAGCGTCAAATACAATAATGCATGTGAAAGCACTCTGTGAACAGTGAAGCATTATACAAATATCGAGATGTATTTTTAAGTACTTACTACAAAAAGTTTACCCGGTTAACTAAGTTAACAACTAGGAAAAAAAGCTTGCCAGAAATAGGCCATATGTATTGAATATCATGTAAGTATAGACCAATGTGCAGATGGGCTGGAAGAGTAAGAAGTGAGGTCCCATTCCAGATCCAGTAAATCAGGATGTTGAGAAAGTGAGACCTATACTTTTTCAGAGTTCTGCAGATGATTTTGATGGGTAAGAACTATCAGTTTAAAGGTCTAATCAAAAAGGTCAAATTATAGTTAGTATACACTGCTTAGGGGGCTAGTAAATTGTAGTTTATCTTAGGAAAATGTCTAACAAGCAACCAGTAAAAATGGAAAACTAAGTTCTAACTAGAACCTGAGAGATAATAACTGATTCAGAATAATTAATCCTGAAAAGTTTGAAATAAACAAAATTTTACTATGTTGATGAAAAGTCACTATGAAATAAAGTATCTGTGTTTAAATTGTTTTAAACATTAACCCAACTATAATTTGAAATATAGCTCTGATATTTTATTTTTGTTTCTTTAATGAAAAATTTAATAAATAAGAAACAGTTTATAAACAATGAACACTTAATAAATGGTAAATAATGAACATTTAATACTTTATTTTCTTCATTTAATTACCAACTGGTTGTATGTTTGACTACTTGTTAGTGATCTATGTCTTTGTGTGTATGTGATCACCACAGAAATTATATTCTAGGATATTCAGTTATTTTCTTCTTCTAGGTATAAAGTATCTGGCTTCTCAGTTTCCCAGTTCATCTCCATTCAAATTGTCCTCACAGCTGATGAATTTCGTTTTCTTTTTTTCTTGTTCTATCTATCGTCTATCTACTTGTGTTTCTTTCTACTCTTGTCCCATTAGTTTGTACACATTATGCCCTTACAGAGAGAGGCCTCTGTGACTTCAGGATACATCTGGTCATTCATGGCTTTTTACAATCGGATCCCTATCTTCTTCTTTCACCACAAGGCTTATTCTCTTTTTCATCAATCTTCAGCTCTAGTTGGTGATGTGCTATAAATCTTAACAACCTACTCTCTGAGGAAGAAAAGAAAAAGCCCTAAAAAATTTATGTCATTTACCAGTTTTCATGGTGTAAATGCTTTCACCATGATCCACTTCAAGAATGACCATGTTTACCAACAAGCTGTCAAAGTTCCTGAAATTTTAACAATCTGTTCTGGCGAGCTTACACACTGCTAGCTCCAGCACACCACTGGTTCTAAACAACTGGAGTAAGAAAGCATATTGCCTAGATCTGTCACACACACTTCTGTCTCAGAATGAGACTTTGCTACTTAGATTTCCACTTCTCACAGTGTCTTCTGTCATCAGCCCCGAAAAGAAATTACATAAACTGGTCCTTCTTGTGGCAGGTTGTGTCCCACTCTGGGAAGCAGATGAGTCCAGCTTTTTCTTCTCAGGCCTCCTAAACACTTATCTGTTTTCCTCTCTAGTATGCTGATTTCTCTCTTTATGCTTAGAATCTGCTTAGTTTCACCTTTAACTTTTAAGCTTCTTAAGGAAAGGTTGTGATTTTACTTCTCTAGTTTCTGATTATCTTGCAAATAATTGGAGTCAAATCTTTGCTGCTGCAGACTTTTGACTTTTCATTAAGGGTTATATTTGATTGTTGAAACTCAAATGTTGAGCCCTCTAGAATGATTCTGGTTTTCATTACAAATAAAATAGCTGTCCCCTTTGGCCCTGCCTGTGCCTTACTTCCCCTACCCTATCAATCTGGAACTATTTGATCAACCATGATATATAGGATTGTTTCAAAAATATTATTCTGCTTGTAATGCATATTTTAATCAAGCTAATTATACCTTTCCCACTGTTTCTTTAGGTACTAAAAGATGGGCGTTTGGTAAACAAGAATGGATCATCTGAGCCTATCCTAACATTGTCACTGTTTGGGAGATGGTATGCTAAGGACTCACATTCCATCCCAGGAGGGACCAGCAATTTGTCAGCAACTTACCTGTTAATATCCATTTTATTAATGATCATAGCTTTGTAAAATATTATGATAATATAGCACATCTCTTTATCACGATCCATTTTGCAGTATATTTTTTGCTAAATGTGTTTATCAGATTTCCAAGTTTACTAAGAAACGTTGAAAGGCTATCTCAATAGTATAGATCAATGATTTCTAAATATGTATTTTTCTTATCAATAATTATTTTAAATATTGTCATTTTCCTCCTTTTTTGACTCCTCTGAAATGTTACTGTGAAATGGAAAGATCATGGGTATTTGGGTCACATAAATGAGAGTCAGATCTTAGTTGTAACCTTATTTGCTGTGTGACCTCGTGTGCTTTTGTGTGTGTGAGAGGCAGCAGAATGAAGAGCTTCAAGGCCATTGTAGACAGAGCTGTGACCTTTGAAGAGAACAGTAATGATGAGAATTGAGAGGTTTATGGTAGAATTCCATTTGATATGAAAAATCTTTTGAACTCATCTACTTTTCTGTGCTAATGATTTGGGGGAAATTTGCTTTTCAATCATACGGTGATGTTGAAGTTTTTCTTCACAATGACAGTTGTTTTGAGATGTTCTAGAAGAGATGACAGCTAGTCCAGGTTCACTTCGAAGGAAACATGGCCCAGAGCATTTGTAGCCCCAAACCATCTCACCCGAGGCTGTGGTACAATTTAACAGGCCCGAATCCTATAACACAAAGACCATGCCTACTAGTAGTAACATTGTTTTTAACACTGGGTAGTCTACTTTGGCAAAAAATGTGTTATCTCATACAACTTGAAATATAGTGTATTTGTTACTGATCTTTTAATGCAAATATTCTTAAAATTATGAAAGTAAATTTATAGATTGTTTTCAGATTTTATATCTCCAAAATTACTTTAAGTCTAATACTTTCAAATTAAAGTATTAAAATTGAGGCATTTATGTTTTATTTTTATATACTGTTGTATATCTACTTGTATATTCAATTTGGATATTCTATTAAAATGCAGTAGGAAATTAAGACTACTTTTATAATGAAGCGGTTAGTACTAAGAGAAAGGAAATGGTGGTCAAGCCACATTTTCTGTTGGATTTTGAGAAGGGCTTATATGTTGCCTGTGTTCAACATTGAGACATACATCAAAGATGGTCATTTTAAAATGGTAATGAATGTACATGTCTATTTATAGTCCAAATCATGTACCCATAAAATTGGGTGCTCTTTAACTTTTTTTGAAATATGGAACATTTCAGATTTGCCAGATTTTGCCTTAGGAAATTAGACATTATGCAACAGTATTGCTATGAGTGTTGTGACCTTTGGGCAATGATATTTCATTTTAAAAAGTTAAACTCTTGACTGGAAGTCAACAGCTGATCCTAATGTAGGGAAGAGGCAAAAGAATTAAAATGCTCAATTAAACTACATTCAGAGCCTGAAATATGCCCATCAGCCCTGCAGCCAGGCCAGGGGAACACCTTCAGAACAAAGGAAGGTTTCTGCTGGGATTGCTAACAACCCATTTCTCACACCCGTGGAGGGGGAAACCGGAAAAACGGTCTTTAAGTGGCTGCCTTACACAAATAAAATCATTCATTCCCTATGGCTAAAACCATGAGGGAACCTATGTATTAAAGGCTGGGAACAGCAGGCCTTTCAGGCTACATACTCTTCCCCTTCCCCTTCCTCACTACATGTCCATATCAAAGGAAATGGGAACCAAAGAATGATATAGAAACTGAAATTGCTGAACACCTGGGGTCCCTCTCACTCTCTGCCTCTGAGAGGAGACCACACTTTGTGGAGTGTTACCTCTTTTCTAATAAACTTTTGACACTAACTTTGGCATGTGTGTTGAATTCTTTCTTCACTTTCCACCAAAGGACTCTTCTTTTCTCAGTGTAGGGCTTGGCTTCCTCCACTTGGGGAAATTTGCCCCGTCCTGCATCAACCCTAAACCCGCTAGTTTTAGAAAGATATAAGCAAGAAGCTCCTCACAGATTCTAGGGGACAGTTTTTCCCCTGACTCACACTTAGAGCTGTCAGCTGTGCTTTAATTCATTAAAAAACAACAACAAATAGCACCAATTCCCAGGGAAAAGAAAGAATACTCAACTCAACTGTAAAATTTCTCACATCATATTTTAACCTATATTTCCTCAGCGATTTTCACACACATACATTTTATTTTACCAAACAACTCCAGCATAATTTGATTTGGCTTTGATTTAGGGAAACGCAACTGAAGGAGTAGCTCTTTTGTTTCTAAAGAGTGTAATGTCAGATAGTCCAGTTTCTTTGATAAGAAACATCTTTCTTCACCTTAAATTTCCCTGTGGTTCTGGAGGGAGTATACACGGCCGATTTTTACCTATTTGGCTTTTACCAGGCCTTTTTTCTGAAAGGTTCTATTTCAACTTCCTCAGTTATGTTCCCCTGTGTTATAAAGCCATACCCTCAGCTTCAGTTTTCTCTCAGGGCTCACTCTCTACCCTTGTTCTTTCACTCAGATAGCATTTATTGATTTCATATCATTTTCCAAGTACTAGGTACTGAGACATTGGTCTATGCGTTCTCTTTGCTCTCCTTGCCACTCTCTGATATTGCCCCTGTGGTATGATCTATTCCAGTCATTTCTGTGCTATAACTCAGGCTGCTCTGCAATTATCACTGCCTCTACTCTCTACTTTTTATTCCTTCTTTGCATTCTGGCCCATCCTCATGGCATCGGCTTATTCCTCTACACAATGATTTCCAGTAGCATTCTTTCTGCTTTCACCTTTCTGTTCTCATCTTCTTTCTTAAATGCCATTCTCATTTCTAACTCCATTCTGATCATCTCTCTTAGGAATTCTATAGATGAGAATGTTTTGAAAGAAATCTGAGGGCAGATGTCTGTTTAGGTTAATATGTCTGTCACACACACG